CCAAAGCAGAGGTACCATGAAGGAGATCCTTGGTTACAAATTGATGACGTTCTCTTGGCAATTTTACTTGGACTATTAGGAACATTTCTGGCATTAATATGTGCTGCAATAATCCACAAAATCAGAGAACATTTTCGTGAAAATAAGTACAGGTACGAAAGTCATGAAACTTTTATATTATTATCATGTATAATATATGAAGTATCTGTAAACGCTTCTAATCTGTTCAAACGCTTCCAATTTTTAAGCTCATTATTATCACGAACTACTCTCCCATAGATGAAAGTTCGTTTTAACAAACCCAGCTTTCAATAAATGCACATGTAACAATAAGTAGTACCGATGTTAATGTTCAAATTAGGAAACATTACAAAACTGATTAATGCGTGGGGATTATTCGACATCAAATTTATCAGACTTTGCACTTGATCGGGGCTGTTCCTGACGGGGGGTGCGAAACGTGCTACCGCAACTTATTATTGTAAAATTTTGACTAGTAAAAATAATAATGAAGCCTTTTTTATGGTTATGAAAATTTTATGCAAATAAGATTCAATCAAATTAATTTTATATGTAGTTTTTGTAACACTACTCGTATACAAGAATTAACTATCTTTATGGACAGCCCAAAATAGCATAATATATTTATTGGTATAGGTAATTAATAATCGCTATTTATCAACCATAACATCATTATTACAAACATTATACGTTAGTTTCGTACTTATATGTGGAATGAAATATTAATTTTAAATAAAACCATTTATTGTTCAAAAATCTTTATTTCATTTCATGAAAATAAAAATTACAAAATATTCCTTTTGAATGATAAATGTTAAAAAAATTATGCATATATATATATATATATATATATATATAGAAAAAAGACTGCATATCAAATTGATAATTAAATATTAAATTAATAAGGGCGGCGATATTGTTTTCGCACCCGGGCGGCCGACAACCCAGGAACGGCCTTGCACTTGATGTATTGGATTTTAATAAACTTGTGTTAAGTCCCACCCGTTATACTTCGGTATATAACTTCCAATATAAGAAATTCTGTTGCAACTACCGCGACGTTGCCCTGTACTAAGGTTGCATAGTGTCAGCGAAGACGATATCCGCATTATACCTCGGAACACCGCCAGGGCGTTCAACCTTCCCATTTCCATTATCTTTTCGAAATTATAAATACACTAGCAAACCATCGATTCGTCGCTAATTATCGTGATATCACGTACCGAACGAACGGCCCCTCGCGTTTAGCATTCGCGTCCGGAGAAATAGTTACGATAGTCAGTGTTACAACGACGTTAAACGTCCATATCTATTCGTATTCGGAGATCCATTACTCACATCCTACGTCGGCCGAGCCAAGCTTAATTCTTGGTTCTCCTTAAGCGCACACCAAGGAAGGTACGACGTCTACCGAGTATCATTAGATAAGTATTTAACAAGTAAGCCATATTGTACCATAACACCGAGTTTATTCATGACTCTAATTACTGTAACAAGAAACACATCAACCTAACCGAGTGTAACGCAAAGGCTCCAAGGCCTGATACACGAGGCGATCCCGTGAAAGGTACTTTAGTTACCTAATTCCTTTAATATTATTCTAGTACGCACCTGTCTGTATACTACACACACAGGACGTAATACTTGAAACCGTGACGAAATATCCGCAGGACAGATCACTCAGATTATGAAGTTACGTATCCCAAGGGATCTTTAGTACCTGGTAAACAAAGTTAGCCAGATGTGACATCAAGTTTTTATCGATATTTAACACAGTGGTAGAGCTTGGAATTACGAAGTTATGAGTTTACGAAATATTCAATGCTAAAGTATTGAAAGCCCATCTATATCTGCAAAAAAAAATGAGCACTTCGACAACTAAAAGTGTATCACGGTTGGCTAGGACTCTGTCTCGGAAGCTGCTGATTTTTTTATCGTTGGTTCTAGCAACTACTGGATAACATTACATGATGACATAAATTTTCTTCAGTAAAATCAGTCTGGTTTTGGACGGAGTATACAGGCTGTCCCAAAATAGCTTCGACTCCCGGAAATGAGGGTTTCCTGGCATGATTTGAAGCAATTTTTTCTTTAGCAAAAATGTTATACGAGGCTTTGTTAACGAGATATTAACGAAAAACCTCGACCAATCAGAGTGCAAGTCAGTATAGTAGATACGCGCTGCGATTGGTAGCCAACGCTACCGCGAGAACAGCGATTTGTGCTGCGACGTCACACCGCCGACCAATTCAAATCTTCGACCCTTTCGAAGAGTCGCGTGCGCTACTACACAGTCTAACGGAATACAACAACGCAAATGGTGGTAATCCATTCAGAGCGAAAGGCTGCAGAAAACAAGTAACAACTTATTATTAGTTAATACAAAAATTGATAATATAGAAATTCCACTGTTTCCTTGAAATGCGAACAACGTACGGAAAACTTCAAGAACCTAGGTCGATTAATTTGTAGTTTTAAAAATCGCTGAAAAATGACACATCTAAGTGAGAATACCGCCTTAACCTATTTTCAATATGACACAAAGTAATTGTTTAATCGAAGATTGGAAAATACGGTATCAAAAACTACTATCAGAAACCGAGAATTATTTATATAAAAATGTCATAACATAACACGTGAATCATAAACGGTATAGGAACTATTGCACACCTCCACGTGCCAGCATACTATCTAATATAATCTAAAAACTATCACCGATAATGTATTATTACTTCCTATCTTGATTATGATATCAGCCATATTCAAAGACACACGATAGTAATCGCAATTGTGCAATACTTTGATGATTATCATTGTTTCTCATATAAAAACATCTTATCGGTTTTCAAATGACGTTAAGTTAAAGTTTATAAAACGACTGAATTGCACTTAGAGTAGCAGGTGAATGTGAAGAAGACTGCCGCCGAAGTGAACATAAGCTACAAAAAAATGGTAAGCGACTGTTACGTATTTTAAGTAGTGACTTTCGTGGAACGATCTTTTTATATCAGAAACAAAAGTAATTTGTCAGAGATGCTTTGTATTTATTCATGTGAATTTTTGGTAAAGGACTGATGTCTCCTAATATATATTTACCCCAACTTATCGATTTCACTTAAGAACATTTTTTCTAAGTCAGGATTACATTAAGCCAGGTACTCACCAAGCGAGCGAGCACGAGCGAGCGCTCGCTCGTGCTCGCAAGGGGTTGCAAGGGCCCGCTCGTGTTCAACTGAAATGCTCGCCATACGACCACACTGGAACGAATTCATTTCTGTTCGCAATTGATCCGAACACTGACCGCGAGCAGATTGTGAAATAATGAATAAGAAGAAATTAGTTTGTGCAAGTGCTGCTTTTATTGTGCTAAAGTTAAGTGCAAAAAATAAAACTGAAGGAAACAAGATAAACGATGGTGGCAAACTTCACTGTTTAAAAACAGACATAGGTATAGTGGAAGTCATTTGTTAAGGGACTTGCAGGAATAAGAAGGATATGAAATGTTCCGAAATTTCTGTAGAATGTCGACCGAAGATTTTAAAAAATTACTACAACTTTTTGAACCAAAAATAATGAAAAGTGACACAAACTGTAGAAAAAATATTCTACGATTCTTGGCTACAGTAAGTCTCTACGAGTTTAATAATGTTTTCATTACACCATTCCATTTTTATTTCACCCGGAATGCAGTAATGTCCTGATAAGAGTGAGTCGGCTTGCTCACGATAAGTGTGAAGTCGACATCCCCACCACTGGGGAAGGGGGCCGTGGAACCAGTCAAGCGTATAATTTTTTGCTCGGCGTGCCGCGACGGCTTCCCTTTCACGAACCGACGGCTGGACAAGGGGAGTTAATGCAACGATGAAATTATTTTATTTTTGATTCGTTGTTAATAAAACTTTTACTAGTATATTGGTGAGATTTTTCTGATTAAAATGATACCAAATACGACGTAATTTGGACCATATTTACTTATGATTTATAAGAAGCAATAAAGAACGAATATGAATTGTTATCAGTTTCTACATGAGTAAATATGATCCAAACTATGTCGTATTTGGTATTATTTTAATCAGAAAAATCTCACCAATATACTAGTAAAAGTTTCATTAACAACGAATCAAAAATAAAAAAGTTTCATCGTTGCATTAGCGTTGTATCACCGATACCCGGGAATGTAATCTTTTCTTGATCTTCCCTCGTTCAGCTGTCGCGTCGACTCGTCGAAAAAAGTCTTTCTTCTCACCGATAGTCACGACGGACTCGACGGACGGCAATCTGCCGAGAAAGTATAAAGTGAAGGAATAATTAGAAGATTTAGATTACACTGGTCAACATGTTTTTTTCCCAAAGAACATTTATACTGATTTTTATAGATTTTTTTGTGCTGAATACGAATCCGTAAACAGTTTTTTGCCATCGCCCTCAGTTTCCGAGAAATTTGATTAAAAAAAAATGCAAATTTTCGAATATGAACATTTTCTGTGTTCAAACATTAATAGCTATTCAGTTGATCGTTGCATCAAATTATTCTGTAAACTCTCTCGGATAAAATGGTCTACGTTGTTATCGCATTATTAACATTTAAACATGTTTAAACAACGATTAAAGGGAAAAGGTCACCCGAAATGCACCAATTTTTACATATATTTTTCAATTTATTTCAAAAAGTAAGGGTGCAGGACATAATCTGACTACGTCAGCAGATACAGTAAACATTTTTCTTCCGGAAAGCATAAACAGAAATGGTAAGACACGTTTTGTGTTCAATACAGAAGCTAAATAGTTTAGTAAAATCTGCGACGCTGGCAGTGGTACTCAAAGGCGGCAAGCGCAGGCGTTCGACTGTCGTTCGGCTGCCGCCATCATTCGAAAGATTATAATCGTTGTGACTGTATCAAAAATGTAAAAGAGTTCATTTTATATACAATATTTATTATTTAACGCATTGTCATTACGTATTCATCGATGTTTCTTCTTCAAACTGCATAAACTTGATATATTTTCGTGAACACTGCATTTAGGGTTTTGTCCCACGCTTCAGTTACTTCCGGAGTGAATTGTTTTCTCAATGCTTGATGAAGAACTTCCAGTATTACATCCTTCAAATTCTAGAAACCAAATATGTTCATGGACTGTAGTTCGGAAAATTATCGGCCGGTGAAACTCTTTAATCATGTTAGCAGTGGACTACTTTCATATAGTATAGTATATTATAGTATAATTCCAAATTGAGTATAATCCCGTCGAAGTATTAAATAAAAAACAATACATAAAATACGCCGGTACATTGCATTTTATTTAAAAAAGTGACTTAGGTAATATTACTTCTATCGGTAATTATTTACTTCAACGATTCCCCGCCGATTTTTATGACCTTGAAATATGTTGTCAAGGTCATCATTTTGAACAATTTTTCCTATACATGGTACCACTGCTCGGTCTTAGTTTCCGTGATATACATATATGGAAATGCATTTTTTACTACGTCGGCGCACCGTGTTCATTGTACACCGGTTGTAGACGGACGGGTAATATAATCGAGGCGCTGGGTGATTCTACGTGATACAATAAATCGAAAATATAGAATAACATTTTTTCACCTGAGGCTTAATTTTCAACAAAATCGAATTTTAAGATTCATCTGTAATGCACATATTCGTGCTGGTAATACGTAAGTGGAAACGGAATGTAATGGACAGACGCGCTGCGATTGGTAGCTAACGTTACCACGGGAACTTGGCCGGCAGACTCGCGCTCTGATTGGTCGGGGTTTTTTGTTAATATCTCGTTAACAAAGCCTCGGATAACATTTTTGCTAAGGAAAAACTTGTTTCAAATCGCCTCACGAGTCTCCCATTTCCGGGTTCTCTAACATTTTTCTTACACCCTGTATATTTTACAATAGCACTCGAATTCGTCAAATGATTGAAATACCTGAAATTCCACTTTTCTTTGACCGCGTTTTTTATGCCTCTCAGCTAAGCCGATCAGACTTGCCTCCATTAATCCTGGGTCGTGCAAGGAATCGATGACATTACTTAAGGCCGTAATTACGCTGGTGCAATGAGCCTGAAACCTTTTATTGTTTGGCAGTTCGTTTAATGGAATATCCTTGAATGCGCTGAACTGTCGCTGTGTTTCTGGGTATTTGTTAAAAAATCTGCAATGTATTGTATGACAATTGAAATTCTTCACATATTGATCCTAAAACAAACGACGTATAAACGGTTTGTCGTTTTGCTGATTCTAGAAACACATTTTTATACAAAATATTTTTTGTAAGTAACCTTAGGATCGAGAAATTCTCTGCACTTTCTACTTCTGTAAAAACTTTGAAGACCTTATATTAGATAGTAAGATATCATTGTAACGCGAGCCACGGGATATAATGTATGCAGAACAAGACGTCGAAACAATGACATTCATATCTTTGTATTCCCGCAGTGCATCGAGCGGTAAACTAACCAGAATTAATTCATTGCGGAATTAAATCATTAGAATTACATTCATTCCTCGACTTACACGGTCCCCTTCTTACGCGGTCAGAAAATCTATTTTCTGTTGTATTTATTGCAATTACACAGAAATTAATTGAAAACTCATACTTGATTTTGCTTATTACGTAATTCTAACATTATTTCGCTTGACTCGTGCAAAATTGATCAAATACTGGTGCCACGTATGTAGATCATTTTTCTTCGAATATTTATAAATTTGATGTTCTGCATTTTCTTACGCACGTTTCGTATTAATGGTAACAATATTAGTGTGGAATAAATATACTTGTACCCAGATAGCACATGATGTCTTAAAGACGTCCTTTTTACGGCTATTTTGGGTCTAAGGCTTCTTTAAGCCGTCTACAAGTTATTGGGCGTCTTGTGCTATCTGGGTAGTGTACACGGGATTTTTCTTTTACATAGTTTTGCTTGCTGCTTTGTAAAATAAAACACGTGGAACGTACAAGGTCAATGTCCTTAATTCTAATCATGTAAGAGTTCTGTTGTCGCAGAAATCGATGTGTATTATTTATTTATGCAACAATCGACAGAAAAACTTATTAAATATAAAATTTAAACCTCCCTTTATAATTTAATTTACATAAAAATATTTTTAAAAACATTTTAGCTTAATAACAGTTAATGTAATATGAAATACAAAATATCCCTATTATATAATTTGGCTAACAATATTAAAGATTCCGTAATTTTTTTTTAGAAAAAACGCAGCGTCCACCTGTAACTCACATTTCATTACGACGGACGCACTTATTAAATTTATTTTTATTAAAATCCTGCCCTCTGTGGAACAGAGGGCTGTAGCATTTTATACGGAAATACTGAACGAATTTAAATAATTTTTTGCACAACTAATATATTATTTAACTTTTTACATTAAATAAAAAATATACGTACTGAGCAGAAATAGTGACATGATTAGAAATAGGGACATTGACCTTATAGTTCGCTTAAATCGAGGATCGGGTGTAGTTTCTGTAACGACTGTCAAAAGCAGATTACGAATATAGGCACTTACGCGGTCATCACGGCAATTCCGGAGCCCACTTCGTCCTTTCTAACCACAGCCCACGTGTTTTGAACTAATCTCTTCTGTTTCTCCGTTAAACCCGTCGCTTGGTCGATTCTATTGTCGTTGGAGGAAATCCCGAATAAACGAAGGAACGTTTCCATTGTTCGCGATGAACTGTCCAAATATCCTTCGCAAATGGAAATCACCAAATTTCATTCAGTCAAAAGGAAATTTCGCGAGGTTTAAGGTGGTTCGTGCCAAATTCGAAAGACTAGATAATTAAATAAAGTTCATACAGATTGTTTATTAAATTTTGAGACTAGGTCGTCGATGAAATAAATAAGAAAAAGCTTGTCAATAATTCAGTTTTTAACACAGTTGTTATGGCAGTTTCTACTACAACCATTTATTTTCACAGGAACTGGAACTGTTAACCAAAAACTAGGTACTGAAAGTATAAATCCTGGTAATGAATTAAATTTTGTACCATGCCGAATATTCTAGGAAGATATTTGACAGTAAAGTCCAGGATGTGTCTGTAGTTGGATGGTTATTGGAACTATGTTGACGTAGGGTCATGCCCGCGAAATTCAAATAAATATAAAACATGTTTTACTTATTTTCTATTTTAGTGAATTCTAATTTTCGAAATTATAATGCACGAGTATATAATTAACTTTACACATAAGAATATTAAATATTGACCAAGAATATATAATATAAGATACCATATATATTATACCAGAAACGAACACAGTGGAATCATACGACTAAGCAAAATATATTTTTTATTTATAATATAATGAAGGATGATCATTGGAAATGTCATTGAAATTCATAGATATAATTTTTATATTCTATTAAAATGTATTAGTGGGTGTTTAATATCAATTAGTAATATGATGCTTTATTAACTAAAGAGTCAGGTATGAACCACCTTAAACGCATGGACAGAACCCACCACAGAATTGTCCCGGATAAAACGAATAATATGATGGTAGTTGGACCGTTAAATAGACAGATCTGTCTGGATCAGATCATGACCACCAGTTATGAGGGAGCATGCAGTCGATTCAAGTTATTACAATTACCGTAATTCAGTGTGATATGTCACGTGCCACGTACCGTCACGTCGTTTCAATTCACTCAATCACAGAGACGGTTGGACGGTGACTACCTCGTTCTTCGAGCTCGACTAACCGCCACGGTCTATCTAATGCTGTTTTACATCTACCCCCTCCGCTGTATCGACGTTATTAATGCCACACATTTAAACGATTAAACAGGTAAGTTTCTTTTCACCGATCATCACTAGTTAAATCGGTTAATCGAATAAAATTCTTGACACTTTGATCGTTGAATTCCATGTTCTCCGAAACGCTAATCGTATTTAATGATTCGATCCGCCTCACAGTGGTACAGAACGCCGATTTAGGAGTTCAGAAGAAAATTTTTTATTTTATTTGTAAAGAAAAGTATTATTAGAAATTACTTATTAATTTTGTATTCTTTTAATAAATATGGATATTAAATACATGCTTACCAAGTTTGGTTTTGAAATTCCCATTTTTACACCCAAATTAAGTTCCTGAACTTCTAAATCGGCGTTCTGTACCACAAGCTCGACGACCGTTTCATTTGGAGTCTGAACACTTATTATCTATGGGTCGCTTAAAGCTATATTTATTTTGTCTGTCCCGACACGGATCGGTACAAAGAAAAAAACAAATAGAGAATGAAAATTTGAACTTTTACAATATTTTTCAATATACTTTCATGAAAGTGTCGGGAATGAATTGGGAAGATTTTCCTGATAAAAATAAGCCCAAACTCGACACTCTTTAGAGTATTTTCAGTACAGTGGTCACTTACTATATTGCCACTGAACATGTTGCCACTCGAGGCACTTCCCCTTCACACGTACTTTCAAGCACAGAAATTCGCATATCGACTTGCTCTTCAAACGGATATATCGTGCCCGGTTGACCAATACGATACTACTCTTATCATGTCTATCTTATTCTGCAAACTTATTAAAGTGTCCTTCAAACAATGATTATTTTCAGTGAAGTAAATCGTAAGCATTGTCGTTTCCTCTCTACTTTTTATGACCTTCAATGACCTTATGTACTAGGTCGTTGAACTCGTTTTAAACTCCTCTATCAATCTACGGAAACAAAAACATACCGATCCATTTAAAAAAATGGAGGTGACCTTGAAATATCCAAAGTACCTCCACCTGTAAAAAAAACTATTAGCGCCATCGGGTGGCTCTCTTCGTACTATGCAATTTTGGTTAAACAAATATTTCTATGAACCTTATAGTTTTAAAGATATTTGAAATGGTAAGTCTTTGGCCCACCCTGTATAATTCCCTCGTAGTGTGGCAATGCCTTCACGAATGGAATAAAAGCTACCTGTAAATGAAAGAAGATATCGTTCGTGGTTTATTAGACCCAGATAGCACACGACGTCTAATGATGCCTTGAATACGGCTTCAAGGCGCCTTAGACCTAAAATAGTCGTAAAATGTACGTGTTTAAGACGTTATGTGCTATCTGGGGAAGAACATTGTACACCGTATAATTATGTATATTACGAGACGATATCAACATGAAAATAACGAAAATTAAGTGTTTTTACGAACATACAATGAAGCCTTTTGTGACTATCCTGTTATTTGCAATATAACGTGCAATGATTATATAGACACTTCTCTATGACAAAAGCATATAGATGTGCACCTGACAGGTGACAAACTTGCGACATTGATTCATACTCTTCGTATGAAATTCACGTACAAATTGGAAACAGGATATGTAGACAACCTTGACTTTATACATTGTATTTGAAATTAAATGTATTTCGTTAATCAAAGAAATATAATTACTCAGTTCATTATCGGGGCGTTCTGTTCCTTCTTATATTATAATTGTTATGAAAAGAAAATGAACCTGTTGAAATCATATTAGATTCATCGAAGTAATATTTTTTACAGAAAATACACGACAGCAACGAAATGACCGAGCCAGGTAAAACAGATGTTGTAACAGATGTAACTACAATAAATGATCAGAAAGATCACGCAGATTCTACAGAAGATACTACCAAGGATACTAAACTCTACCCACAATTAATTGCTTGTGTAATAGGTAAATTTTTCTCATCAATTTTATCACTGACAATACATAGTGTACCTACTATCCTACATTTTATGCATGTTTCATGTTTTGTAATTTGAAAAAAATGGATAAAAAAATAATCTTCACCAATCAATATGTATTACACGTATTACATAATATGTATGTAATACATTATAGTATTATATTGTACATTACATTATAGTATCATATTAGTATTGCAATATTACATATATTATAATGTTACATATTACTAGAATACAATACTAAAATATAGGTACACCGACGTGCAAACACAGCTTCCGCTGGGAGAAAAAGTGACGTCGGTAAAGGGACGCATACCACTTAGTAAATGTAATTCAAATATTGAAATAAATGTTAAACTGAATGTTAATTTCGCATGAATTTCAGTAACTTCCGAAACCAAGTAGTAGGAGACCCACGTTACTTTTCCTCTAGCAGAAGCCGAGCTTGCACGTCAGTGTATGTACACCCACAAGCAAACTCCGCTTCCGCTAGGGGAAAAAGTAGCGTAGAAGAAAAGTCTTCTACCACTTGGTAAATTTATTCCAGGTAGTGAAATAAATGTTAAATTGAATGTTAATTTGGCATACATTCCAATAATTCCAAATACCAAATGGTATGAGGCCCTTACTCTTACACCATTTTTTTCCCTATTGGAAGCCGAGTTGGCTCGTGAGGGTACACTGACTGCTATGGTAGCCGCGACATATAGATTTTTTCACACCCTCTACAAGCAACTTGTAAAAAAAATGGTAATTACAGTGAACTCTAACTATATTGCCACGGTCGGGGTTGTCGGGGAGTAAAATGGCAATGTGTTCAGAGCCCCCTCCATGCTAAGTTCTATTGTCATACCCTCGGTGTCAGCGCCTGCGCAAAAGCTGGGTCGTACTGGTGCGCCGGCGTGCGCAACGTGGTGGGAGAGCTAAAGTCGTGTTGAGGGAAAGTCCCTCGCGTGGTAATATGTTCAGTAGCAATATAGTTAGAGTCCACTGTACTGAAAAAAAGACAGTTTGCTGAATTCGACGACCTTGGAGTACGTTGTCAAGACCATCATTCTGAACAACTTGTCTCTACACATATTACAACCGCCCGGTTTTAGTTTCAGAGATATTCAAGAGAAAATATTGACATTTTCACTTTGATGTGAATTGGAGACCTCTTAGTTTTGCATTAGGTTTATCTACAGGATTACCTTTAAATCACCTAACTGTTGAATAGAAGTGAGTGGGAAAATCTAGTCTTAACCAATACTATGTGTTCCGACCCATGGCAAAGTAACATACATACATACAATAATATATTTTTAAACAATTGTATGTACACTATTGTGTAACCAACTTTATATCACTTTTTTCCTTTGAACTGTCTTTAATCAAGGTCTGAATCATTGTACTCATCGAAGTTGGTTAAAACAGTTATTGTATGTGTTTCCATGTATACTTATTCCCGAGTTGGTTAAAGACAGTTCAAGAGACGAAGTAATTCAGAGTTGATTAAAGATAGATGATTTGTTTGTTGAAAAATATTAGCTCAAACCAACCGTTGGTTATTATTTTGTTGTAATCCGTTGACTGGTTGTTCTATTAATCGTAATTTTATATTTATTACATGTAGTAAGAACTTGATACGAGCTTGGACATATAAACGAAATACGTTTAACGCACAATAAATATTTCTAAAGTTGGTTCTTTATTCTACATTAAACTCGTGATTAACCACTGCTCTTTGGTAAATTATTGCCGAGGAGCTCGTTGGAAAGATGGTGTGATGGTGTGTGGTAATATGTGTTTTAAACGATTAACACAACTTAGTAACACACTTTGACTTTAATATAAACTTACCAATGTGATGTATGTGTGTATTGGTTGTATTCTGACTGATCGATGTGTTTTTGTTGACGGTTGAATGTATTCTGGTGAATGCATGAATTTATAGATGCTTACTGAAACGGGTCGACTCGTGATTGGTGAAAAATGCTGAATTTTTGTTGGTATAGGTGGTTCAAGAGGTGGTAGTATGAGTTGGAAGAAATGGGGTTTGGTGTATGTATTGTTTCTTGAATTCCTGGAAGTCAGCGCCGAAATATAAGAAACGATCTTAAGGACCGCGAATGTATTGCACGTGATGTGTAGCTGTTCAGGAATCCCTGTTTATGACGATTTGGTGACCGCGATAAGCGTTACGACCAACGCCTACCTGCGTTGGGTCGCAACTCGGAGAATAATGCTTGTTTAACACAGAAATGCGTGTACGATATAGGTTCGGTAGTTTAAAAACGGGGGAGGGGGGTATCTTGAGTCTACCGATCAGTAAGGGATTCGACATTGGAGGAGAAATTCGAGGATGAGTAATAAGTAGACTGCGGATTTTATGCATTTATAACCTATAGGGCTCTGTGAAATACAATAAAAGACAAAACTTTCATTGGATCCAACGAGTTTTCTATTTAATTTGAACCCAATAAGATACTTACGAGAAAAACTAAATTCCTACATTTGCTCTTATTTTTATAAATTACTTTAGAAACTGTCATAGTGGGATAGTTGTCTACTTACCCGGTAGAAGATGTCAATAACTTGTGACGGTGGTATTTGATTCGAATCCACTTGTATCGTATTAACCCTGATTATTCGATAAAATTCGCAGGAAATGTAAATATCTTCTTACGAATATAATCGAGTAGGGAAGGTAATACCGACCCTGCCATGCCGACCGATCCCGCCCATGCTCCTCCCCAGAAGGGCATCGACGCCCCCCCCCCCTCCCCCATGGGACGGAGTTTAACCGTCCCACCTTTTCCATTCGATAGCATCGAGGGGTCACCTCTCGACACTGTCTTCCTCTTTTGGACTGTCCGCGCAGGGGTGGCACCCTGAGCGTCATTCCTCAGTCCGGACGCCCTGCGGGCAACGCGAGGGGTCACCGCGGCTATGACCCCGTGAACTCGCGCGCCCGCGGGGCGACTACTACTTCGATCTTACCCCAACTGTTTGAGGTTCTTGTACCCACAAAGGAATATACAATAAACATGGATAATATGAACCGTGTATTTGATAGAAACTAAGATGAAATTTGTCGCTCCTAAAGAAACTACATAAAATAAACTAAGAGAATTGTGAATCACATACATTCTGTGTAACATGAACCATTTCTAGCATGGAGTTAGTATTCGACGTTAAAGCTTCTTTTTTACAAGTTAATTTCAGAAGGGACAGCCGGAAACATAATAGGCAAGGTCTTCATAGATGGCAGCAACACATACAGGCAATCCGCGGGTAGTCGCACTGCAGAAGACAAGAGAGTGTTTTACAATATCCAGACTCGCACGCCCTCGGCATCGTGGCCAAGTGGCCCCCGAGTGGTGTGCAGAAAAATGATATTTAGTATATAGAGTAATCAGGGTTAATGCGATACAAGTGAATTCGAATCAAATACCGCCGTCATAAGTTCCTGACATCTTCTACCGGGTAAGTAGATAGCTTAATTCTACTTACAAGACTCCTCTCGATTATCGTACGGCTTGTTCTACACGATTATTGTCCAGGCATTATCTCCACAACAGGAGAGGGGGGGGGGCTTCGAGCAAAAAACGAATTTACGAGGGACTGAAGCATATCTCCCTATAAGATTATTGTCCCGACCCGGACCCCAGTTCAGGACGATAATCGAGAGGAGACTGTACTTTTCCTGTACGTCGTTGAGTCTTTAGCGTGACTGTACGCTCCTTACCAGCCCTGCCCCGCTGACAGTCCGTGCCATGCGGATTACCATCATTTAGGGATACTTTTAAACGCTTATAACTAACAAACGAAGCATTTGTCGCAATTTCGTTATTTTTTATTTTCGTCTTATTTTACCTCCAAGAATCACCTATTAAATTTTTCCCCACTAATGGTTGAACACCTTACCCAGATAGCACATGACGCCCAATGATGCCTTGAGGACGGCTTAAAGGCGCCTTAAACCTACAATAGCCGTAAAGTAGACGTCTTCAAGGCGTCATGCGCTATCTGGTTGTATGTATATGTTACACTAATAAGGTGTAATAATAATACTACAAATTAGTGCATACGATGTCATGAGGCCCCCGAGTTCGACGGACTCACGCACACGCCACGCACAGACGCGTACCGGTACAGGGGCACATTTTCATGCTCATCACTCATTCTTTTACGATATCAAGTACTACTTTATATTCGAGCTGCTTGCTCACTGCTAAAATGAATGCTAATAGATTTCGTCTTTTCACTCCGTAATCGAAGCAGGAGAGTAAGGAGTGAAGTAACTCAAGACTTCAAGACGACTGCCAACGTTCAACTGTTTATAAACACGGATCTAACTGGCCTCTGAGTTCGCCCGGCGAGTGTTAACCTCGAAAATTTTATCCCTCTATCTTATGTCTATCAAAAGTTCTATAATTCTGACACAAAACTGAGTACAGTGAACTCTAACTATATTGCCACTAAACATATCGCCACGCGAGACACATTCCCATCATACGTACTTTCAAGCATACAAATTCGCTCTCCCACCACGTTGCGTAAGCCGGCGCACCAGCACGATCCACCTTTTGCGCAGGCGCCGAGGCTATGACGATAGAACTTAGCATGGAGGGGGCTCTGAACTCATTGCCATTTTACTCCCCTACAGCTCCGACCATGGCAACACAGGGTGTAACAAAAATGTTAGAAACCTGGAAATGAGAGACGCGTGAGGTGATTTGATGCAAGTTTTTCCTTAGCAAAAATGTTATCCGAAGCTTTGTTAACGAGATATTAACGAAAAACCCCGACCAATCAGAGCGCGAGTTTGTTGGCCGAGTTCCTGCAGTAACGTTAGCTACGCGCTGCGATTGGTAGCCAACGTTACCGCGGGAACGCGACCAACAAACTTGCGCTCTGATTAGTCGGGGTTTTTCGTTAATATCTCGTTAACAAAGCTTCCGATAACATTTTTTCTAAGGAAAAACTTATTTCAAATCACCTCACGAGTCTTCCATTTCCGGGTCCTCCAACATTTTCGTTACTCCCTATATAGTTAGAGTCCACTGTAGTTCGTTCCATTGTGCAATAGAATATCCACGAATTATAAAAATGAATTTTAAAGATGACGATCACAAAATGCGGGCATATTTCGTCAAAGTTTTACAGACTTGTACCAGGCGTCATATTTATAAAACCGAAATATCTATAATATTTCTGTATTGCAAAAATAACTCTTCGTATGAAACAAAAAGTAGTTAAAGAATAATTCTTTCTCCTCAAAATTAAACAAGAATCAAGTTCGTATTTTTAATAGTTGCGGAGATAACGATTCTTTTGTGAAGGTGGTTTTTATAGAAATTGGTAAATATCACAAACTTTGGGAGTCTGTATCATTGTAGCAATTTCGCAGCAGAAATGTTTGTTTGTTATGCCTGTTGAATCATGTGTGTTAAATTCTGAATCAGAATAACCGCCTTATTTTTTTTAATACTAAAATTTCAAAAAACCCAAAAAAAATAAGAATCAATTGCTTTTAGGACAATAACTTTTCTTATTTCTTTTCAAATTGCTTCATATCATAGTTCCCTACCTTTTTTCTTTTAATATTGAAATAGACATTAACTTAAAAATAATATTTTTACTTATAGTTAATCTAACAATACTCTCTTCCGGATTGAGCTACGCCTGGCCATCGATTAGTTTACTCAGCTATCAAAAGAGGTCTTCGGATTTTCATTTAACTTCTAGCGAAGAATCGTGGGTGGTCAGTGCATTACCTATAGGATCCTGCTTCGGACCAATTGTATCTGCTTTGCTAGTAGATCGAATCGGCAGAAAATGGTATCTCTACCTAACTTCTATACCATTCCTTGCCAGTTGGATACTCATTTACTACGCCAAAAGTTGGGTGTATTTGTTTGCGGCGCGATTTTTATGTGGTTTTCCGATTGGATCTTATTTCGCTGTGGTTCCGCTATATCTTGGTGAACTCGTCGAGACAAGGATTAGAGGGGCTGCTAGCATGACGATGGGTTTATTACTTAATCTAGGACACATGATCGTTTATGGAATTGGTTCATTTGCAGACATGCAGGTAATTTTTATGGATTTATAATTAATGTAAAGTAAATGTTTACTAGTCACTTTATTCATTCATCATTCTCCTTGGTATGCGCTTAAATGTAGTGATATTTTTCTGATAAAAATGGTGTAGCTTGCTCGCAATAAATTTGTGATTTGTTGATGCTTGTTTCAAAAATTAATATCACGGTGCTCAGTGAAAAATGTATGATTGAAGTTTGCGATTTTATATAATTTAAATAATTGTGATGTAAATGTATGTGTGCATACTTTCGATTTCCACAACCGTGCCTTCCCCTTGTTGCATTCACCTACAATAAATTTCACTCCATCATTGCATTCTTTCTCTAAAGTATCATTCGTATTCTTCGTAGCTTAGCTATTCAGTATTAACACCCAGTGGTAATACAGGGTGTAACAAAAATGTTGGAGGACCCGGAAATGGAAGACTGGTGAGATGATTGGTCAGGGTTTTTCGTTAATATCTCGTTAACGAAGCCTCGGATAACATTTTTGCTAAGGAAAAACTTGTTTCAAGTCACCTCACGAGTTTCCCATTTCCGGGTCCTCCAATATTTTTGTTACGCCCTGTAGAAAAGAAAGCAGCTTTCCTGCTATTTTCCCTCATTTAATACTATTATAGGTTACCCTAAAATTCTGAATTACTGTTGCAGTTGGTTGCAATCATTTGTGCGGTGCCAACAGTCCTCTTCATTTTATTATTACCTTGGATACCGGAATCGCCCTACTATTATTTGAAGAAGGGTAACGAGAAAGAGGCCGAACTGTCTTTAATATGGCTAAGGGGAACAACGAACAACAAGAAGGAAATGAAAGAAATAGACGAGTTTATAAACCACGAAAAGCACGGTGACTTAAAAGACCTGTTCACAATACCTGTGCACCGAAAAGCACTTCTTCTCTTGCTATTACTGTTGGCGGGTCAACAATTTTCTGGAATGATAGCTATCCAATCGTTTTCCGGGATTCTAATCACGAATATGAATTTACAGCTTAATACCTATATGGTCCTTCTTATCCTGGGTGCAATAAGCGCACTATCTATTGGGGTAGCCGCATTTATAATTGACAGAATTGGTAGAAAACCTCTTTTCCTGGTGTCAACGTATATTGTTGCCATATGCGTTTGTATTTTAGGAACGTATTTTCTTCTTGATAAAAGAGGATTCAAAGTTCAACAGTTCTCTGCGATACCACTAGTCGCTATCATAGTTTATTACATTGCTCTTTCTCTCGGTTTAACAAGCATCCCATCAGTAGTCTCTTCGGAAATCTTTCCAATGAGCGTGAGAAGTTGGGCAACTGCTGTCGCAAACATGTATGGAGCCGTGCTTGCAGTCATTGTAGCGAAATGTTATCAAATTGTGAGCGACGCGTGGGGCAATGAAACAATTTTCTACATTTTTGGTGGTATCGAGATTGTAATAGCAACTACTGCAATCTTTATTATGCCAGAAACATCGCGTAAATCATTCATGGCAATACAAGAGATGTTGAACGGAAAAACGTGTAACGCGACAAAGAAAGAGGAGTTGAGCGAAGCTCATGTAGCTTGATAGTTCATTAATTTAAGATTCGCTGCTGGTTTATGGTAAACTAATGTCACAGAGCTAATTAATATATATTATTGTTTTGAATATGATTCCAAATGTAATATATGTACAGATATAGGTATCAATCATTATTATTAACATTACGATGATTACGAGTAAAATAAATGTAAACATTCCGTAATACTTACTTCGCCTTCATTGTTAAGACTAAGAAATGTAGTGGTCATGGTATCGGCTGTGAATAACTTCTTACCCTTCATAACGATATATTTTGACGGTGCGTGTGTAACATCAATATCTAATGACCATACCAATACAGTTGCACCTACATCTATGTATTATAGTATAGTAGATACATGCAGCTGCAACTGTATTGGTATGGTCATTATACTATACATATGTGACAAAATGATGAATACATTTTTATTTATTGTGAACATAGCAATTATATTGATCTGACATATTGTACATTAATTAACTTATATTTTGTTTAACATTTGTAAGAACTGAAATGTAACCCTGTTCAGATGTTGATTACTCAAAATTGATCAGTGATTCTGAGGTTTCTGTGTGTTATGGATGTTCTCGGAATTCGTCAGAAATACAAACAAGAAATACAAACCTGCCTCTGTTTCTCTGTAATGGGGCAGCGAAAATTTAGAGTTTCGGTAACTTATAGAACAGATTACTTATATTTTCACCTTCTTTCAATTTTAATAAACAAATTTTATTACTTTATTATCTTCTGAACATGTTTTACAACATTAAATTTTACTATTACTGATTTATGAAACGAAATTATGTATTGATACACAAATTGGATTATTTTACTATCTTGTGAGTAATGTAACAATCGTTTTGTAATTCATCAATCATCGCTTTGAGATGGGTGCCTTTATTGCTTCTGTGGAAGCAGGAGATGCATCAGCCAACATCATACCACAATGGAAAAGGTGTTCTATTTCTGATGAACAACAATCAAAGAACTTTCTTTATACAATATCAGAAAACGACAGTTTCATAAGTTCGTTGAATCACAATAAAAATGATTACAATGGAGCGTTACTGGTGGAAAACAGTCTATTCAATGAGATTAGTGACGCTGTGATTCATGACAACTGCCAGTTCCCTTATTACAGGTCACTTAAGTTTTTACTTAATTTTAGGCATTTATACATGAAATTAATACTACATTTGTGTAGTAAAATATATTAGTATGTACTTTACATAATATTGCATAAAAATTTTGCTTGCAGGACACTTATTTAGCATATTGATATATGAAATTGTTATTATACTAACACTTTACATAATATTATGCAATATTTTACACAAAATTTTTCATAGGATTATTTTTTACTTTATTAGTATTGGAAGCTAACACTGTACTTGCAGTATTGATAAAATTATTTATATAAATATATTAAAATTATTGATATAAAATGTTTTATAGGAGCAGCAAATGCAGTGACCAATATTTAGATGCAGTTTTGGTCAAGGATGTAGGTGTATCGTGCATGCTTCTGAATCAGAATGAACATGATATGTATATTTCAGAAGCAAAAAATTATTTACATAAGCAACTCAGAAAAGAGTACACTGACTTAGCTAATATCACAAATAAAATAACTACCTACACAAAAGACATTCTTAATCATTTATCAAAGAAACACCAGAAAAAACAGCACCTCCAAAATTCGGTACTTACCTAATACTTATAAGATTTTGCTTTGTAATGTGTAATTATTTATTTACCTTTCTCCTTGTTTTTATGTGATAAATATTTTTATATTAATGTTTCTACAAAATGAAGGTAATACAATTGCTAAACTGTGGATTACCTTCAACAAAAATGTAATAAATGTTCTAAATTATGTTTCATGCAATGAAATCTTCAAGAGAAAGAATAAATTTCTGATTAACATTTGCCTCTGTAAATTACACTAGACAAATGTTACTTTACACAAAAGTCTGCACACTAACAATTAGTATATAAATTTGAAGATAATTACACTATAAAAATATATTTAATTATGTAACTTACTTATGTTTTGTAATATCTAATCATTGAATTTTTATATAAAACATATTTTTGCAAAAATTAGTGAATTTAATAATATAATTTACAAATTTTATTTTACACTGTAGGTTTCTTCGACTCATGCAATAGCATCTCAGTATCTGGACAATAAAGGTAATCTCTGCTTAAAGTTGAGATTATTGAACAATACTAAAGTACAATGTTGTGATCGACAAATTTTCTCAGAATCCTATAATACAAATAAAAATGATACAGAGGAACCATATAATAAGAATTGTAATTTCTGCAGTTATTTGATAACAAATCAAAATTAATATTTGCTTTTGTTTATCTATTAATCTTATCAATTATCATACACAATAGCATAACAATAGTTAGTAAGTATTAATTAATTAGAGAGATCAATAGATGAAAAAACCATTCACTTTTAACAATTTAGAATTTAAATCTGAAAGAGGTATTAATTAAAGCAATAATTATTCATAATTACTACTGACTAATTATTAATAACAATTGTTGATACATGTAAATATAGAGTAATATTAATATTTTGTGTAAAAGTCTAGAATGTTCTACTCATTTAATAAAGAAAATATTCTAAACATTTAATTAATTAATGTTAACAGTAAAAGAACAGATTGTCTGCCAAAATGAAAGATCGTACCAAGAAGATAAAAATAAAAAAGAAGAAAAAGAAACTCAGACAACATTCTTCAATGAAGGTGTACAAACTAGTATGTCAAGCTTAAATACCAATAAAAATATAAAAAAATGTGATTCCGTCACGTTAACAGATTGGAAGGAAATTTCAAAATCAAGACGACCTAAAAAGTAATATACCGTTTGTCATTATGAATGAATCACATGAACAGGTTTTTCTTTTTGTTATCTACAAGTACTTTAAACATTTTCTATTTATTTTTCTAAAATTTACATTCTAATTTGCAGATTGAAAGAAAAGACACAATTTTTAACTACAAGAGAATAAATAATGCGTAAAATGCAAAATTTTATACTATTTACCCAGTCAACCAGACCTGCAAAGCCAAATATTGTCCAATGCCTGTTATAAAGTTATGGCTACAAAGCCTACAAGTTTGATGCAAGATTTGCTACAAATAACTTGCGCGCACATTGGCAGCAATATATGTGAACATATGCAACAAATTGGCTCGCGCAGACACTGTTCCGTTTTTGCTCTCAATTTGACACAGGTTATGTTGCAAGACTTGCTGCCAATGTATTTTACCATTTTTATAAGCTGACGTTGCCTCCAAAACTCAAGTCAAATGCGGAAAGAGATGACTATGATTGTTTAGACAACTTTTATTATTATTGGTGGCAATTTGCTTAAAACTTGTATATAACTGGTTACCATGGTGCCAGTGTTATTATAACTTTTGTTTTGGAATGTACTTAAACATAAATGGTATTTATTGTAATAACATATAGTTCTGTTTCAATAATTTGATTATATCGCTTGATTGTACATATATGTACACACACTAAGCTTGAAATACATGTTATTATTTATTTACAACATACGTATATGCATATAAAATACTTTTTTTTTACAGTAGTGAGAACTTCTGCCTTCAGTAAAAATTAAAACAATGACTGAAAAACAAGGCAAATTATGGAACAATGTTAAAATAGACAATAATGTTTACATGATCTCAGTTGCATGGAAGAATGACTCGATTGAAGTTTTTTTGACTAATTTTATTGAAATATGGATGGAAATATTGACAACTGAAATTATTATGAAAAGATGCAAGGTAACTAATCATACATTACTACTTGATACAATATTTAACAATTATAGTACATATTTTGTTAAAATATTTTCTTTCTTTATATCAGGAAATGAATCCACTTTTAAGTGATAATGCTTTGAATTATAAAGATATTGTGATGAATATCTTGAGTAATATACCAGAACACATTGACAAAGTGTCTGTTGAGCAAATAAAGCTACGTACGAAGATAGAAGGTGGCTCACTAAGATTTTCCTTGAATTTATCAAAAGGAACGTGTCAGGATTTCTGGGAAATTATAACTAAACCTCTGTGTGTATCCTCAATGGAAATGATTCGTCAGCAGAAAATTCTTGTTGATTTAATTAAAAAGAAAGATGAAGAAATTGCTGAATACAGAGCAGAAGGTGTTGAGTTAATAAGAAGTATGTATTCCTTGATGACATAAGTGTCTTCACTCTCCTAAATTTAGGGAATACCATGACAGAACCATTTAGAGAGGAACAACTCAAAACAGTGATTCCAGTTTTCAATTTGATTGAATGTACGAATATGTTTCAGAAAATAGAAAATTTGTACAATAAACCTGAATTAAGTGAAAATAGTGAAACATGTATAAAACCCACAAGGTACTGTATTTCAAACCAAGTTCGAAGTTATGAAATTAATGAGTTTATAAGAATTATAATTTGTATTACAGCAGCAAGAATATTCAAATGGAGAAAACAGAGGAGAGCATAACTATTCTTTCTGACAGTAACACTCTTGAGTTTAAGAAAGATACGCAAGAAAAATTTGGTGGCATAAAATTAAGAAAAAGAAGTCACAAAGAAACGAAGGCCATACGTTTGGTGCCGCGATCTGTAAAAAAATTGAAACCCATAAATGAATTTATATCGTAAAACTGTATAAAAGGTGATAATTTGATTGTGGTAGTCTAATTGTAATCGACAATTTGTTAAAGAATTTAATACAGATATTCTAAACAATAAACGTTATAATTTCAACAATTATTTTGTAACTGAAAAGACAATAAGTATTTATTCTCCTCGCCTATTAATCGTGTTAATCAATAATTAGTAATTTCTAGATAAATGTCGACATTTCGATGAATTATTATTGATTAATTACCGATAACTAATCAATAAGTTCATTATGATATTCTGATAAAACATCTGTAATTATTTTCTCGAATTGCACGTTTCCCCAAAATATTCTGCATGCCGTACAGAGAAAAAAAGTTTCCAAAATAACCAGATCAAGTAAATAATAGCATCAATTAGTCTTTAAAATATATAATAAAATATTAGAAGAATAACTAATTAGTAGGCAAATAGAAATTTATATGGCTCATGTTACGCAGACTAAAGACAAAATTCAATTGAGTCAGAAATTTACTGTTTAATCTTTTGCTAAAACATTAAACTTCTCTTTAGAGTCTCTCACTTTCGCTGATGTCAGGTAACAAAACACCGCATGAATGGAATAAACTACATTTTACGTAATCATTTCTCATAGTTAATTAACGAAAAATTGTTGAAAAAGAATTAGTTAAAAGAGAATGAAAAAATAAAAGTAAGTTGGGCTCGTCCGGGATTTGAACCCGGGACCTCTCGCACCCTAAGCGAGAATCATACCCCTAGACCAACGAGCCACATTAAAACTTTCTTTTTCACATGTAGTATTTTCTATATACTTATAATAACTAAGCTGTCAACACAAAAAATTATCACTTTTATTATTTTGCGATAATTCCTCGTTGTATGTGGAATATGGCGGAACGAAGGCAACAAGACTTCAACAGAAGTGCTTTGACGGTTCGATGTGGACGGGTAATTAAAAGAATTCACAAAAATTGTTGGATTTCAGTGATTTTGGCTATGGCACGTGTTTAGGCATGGTATACAGGGCAACGAGCTGAAAAAATTCCCGGGGGCCTCGTAGGTGTTGTTGGTTACGACTGTACGAGTTTAGATCTTTCTTACAATGAACTGACCTCCATCGCCGCTATCAAAGACTTCGAAAGACTGCAGGAACTGATATTGGACAATAATAAACTTAGAGATCTGAAAACGCTGCCTCAAATGTCAACACTGACCACTCTTAGCCTAAACAACAACGAGGTTTGTTTTGTTTTTTTTCTTTATTGACACGTTCTAGCCTCCTAGTCAGCTAAACCTGCAAAGTCAAATTTGGTCCAATGTCTGTTATTAAGTTATGTCTACAAGTTTGATGCAAAAATTTGCTTATCAACAACTTGTGCGCACATGGGTAGCAACATATACATATAGGCAGCAGCAACATAAGCAGCAAATTTACTCGCGCAGACTCTTCTGTCTTTGCCCCCAATTTCACACAGGTTATGTTGCAAGACTTGCTGCCAATTTGCTTTACCATTTTTTTATTTATTTGCTGGCAATTTGCTTGAAACTTGTACATAACTGGCCAACAGGGCTATTAAGTTTTCTGGAAATAAGAATGTTATTCGGATTGCTTTTTTAATTGTTCACAATTATAACTTTCCAATGAGTATAAGCAATTTATTAATAAGTTTGTGGACATCGTTCATTCTAAGGAGCTTATTCTCTACTTCCCGTAAAAAAAAGAGGTTAAAAATCTTTTTTAGACAATTATAAGCATTATAAAGGCTACCACAAACCAACGCGAAATATTCGTAGAGGCAGCGAATATTTCGTGGCAATAGATTTTTTATAGATAAATTTATCAGGAAATTTTTCGCGTTAGTGTGAACAGTCCCATAAGACGCCATGCATTTTAAACTGTTGTGAATCTATCGCCGCGAAATATTCGCTGCCGCTGCGAATATTTTCCGTTGGTTTGTGGGAGCCTTAATACGTTGAACACATGGAAATATAGAAAAAAACAGAAAACGGCATACAAGATCAGGTTCAGTTACACGATCACCTACATAGCAATTTGACGGCAGAATAACGTCAGACTAACAGCAGGGACGAGCAGGTCTAACGCTAGAACCATAGTCATCTGTCGCAACAATAGGCATAAAATATAACGTCAAGTCTGTTGACTTGTAGTAGATTCGCAGCAGAAACAGAGCAGGTCTGCAATATAACGTAGCAGTAGAAATCGAGCAGGCCATGTGTATAACGTGACTACAGATTAACGTCAGACACAGAGCAGATCTTACGATGTAACCTAGCGGTTTCTGTCATTTCATCCTATTAAATTAGATAGGCGAAATTAAATACTTTTTATGGTAATGGTTTACAATTCGGTCGATATCTCTGATCTCTTCACACTTTAATATGTTGAAACAGGCTTTCTAAAGAGGTAAAATATCATTTTAAAAAATGTCGCGAACAATTATAAGTATTTCCCTGATAATGAGTTATGTCCAAGTTTCGAGCAAATTGCCAGCAATAAATGACAAAAGTCGTCTAAAAAACCATACCCATCTGTTTCCGCATTTGACATGGGTTTTAAAGACAACGCCAGCTGACAAAATGGTAAAGCAAATTGGCAGAAAGTCTTGTAACATAACCTGTGTCAAATTGGGGCAAAAACAGAACAGACTTTGCGCGAGCCAATTTGCTGCCAATGTGCGCGCAAGTTGTTCATAACAAATCTTGCATCAAACTTGTAGCCATAACGTAGGCATTGGTTTGTTGTGACACCATCAAATCGTCAGAGTTTAACATCACGATTCCGTGTTGAAACAGTGGCTATGAACGCATATCCGGATACTCAGATCCGGATTTGGATTCGGATTTCGAGTTATAAGGAGTAATTCGAGTACCCGGATATCCGTATAGTAAGAGCTCTAATTCACACCATAATTATTATTCAATCATTAACTAATTTATGCGTCTGTGGTGACAAAATTGTTTAGATATCTGATATAGATGGTGTATTGAAGAAAATACAAGAGTGTTGTCCGAATGTGATTTATGTGAGTCTGCTGGGCAACCCAGGATGTCCCGACCAACTGACCAATCCGTCCACGGACGAAGAGGACTATAATCGTTACAGGCTCTACGCGATACACATGTTACCTCCAAGTCTTCAGTTTCTCGATTCCCGGTCAGTGACACGACAAGAAAAAATCAATGCTGAGATCCGTGGCAGATATTCAAGAACCGTGAAACTAGTCTCGGAGGTGTCATCGAAATTCATTTCGAATCCGATCGACGAATTTGACGATATTTTCTTCAATATCCACTACACTCCTTTGCCAACGTCGATTCGGGACCCCCACGATCATAAAGGTAAAATTTTGAATTGTATTCTGCATCGGGTCAAGTCGGCAAATGATGTAAAATCAATGAGTAATACTACAAAATTCGTAAGTCTAACACTAATTGTGTTCTAATGATACTAAATTAATGAATTCGTTTGGACTTACAATCACCTTCAAGCCAGTAAAATACATACCTGGTATTCCGTTTAATTATGGTGGAATATCTCACAAGGGATTGAAGCTATAAAAAAATGTTCTTATAAAAGTTGTTTGGTATAAAGGGGCAGATTATGTAGTATTAATGGTATTTTTGTAGGTGGAGTGTTCAGGGAGATTTTAAGGTGAAGTTAGTTTTTTAAAATGGTATTTTTTGTTTCGTAATGTTATAGCGAGGTTTGAGACAAATCTTAACGACCTGCTATTGGATGTCGTTCTTTGTAGAAAGTCATAAATCAGGGCGATCGAAGTCACGACAGTCAGAAGGTGCCGATTAGTTAAATCTTGAGTGACTCTACTACCTTCTCGTGCCAGACTATTGGATCACCCTTTGACTAAATGCTCCTCGTATGGAAACAATGCTAATGCTGTACCAAATATGAAAAATTGCAAATTAATGATCGACTTCAATATTCGCTATCCACTATTTAACCTTTAATAATAAGAATTTATTAATAATTCCTTTATGTACATTCATGAGCACATTCGGCTTCCGCTACAGAAAACATAAGCCATGGGGGAGGGCCTTTTACTACTTGGTTTCAGGTGTTACTGAAACTTATACTAAATAAACATGTCTTTTTCAGTTTGACAAGTGTTTCAGTAATTGAAATAAGTTTACCAAGTGGTGGGAGGCCCTGAGCTGGCAGATGGTTTCAGCAGAGTTGAACGAACGAACAAAAAGGTAAGATGGACAACGAACATATTGTAAAAATGTTAGAAGGTGTACCTGATAAGGGAAGGTTCCGAACCCGAAAATTATTGGAGCAATTTTCTTTTCGTGCCCGTTTTCATTCTGAAGGGGTAAAATCAGTTCTTAGAGTGTTTGCGTTTCTTCGTTTTTAACAAAATTCGATTTTCGTTTTTCGAATTTTGTAACGGTACGAGGTAGAGCAAAACTGTAAATATATAAATGATTCAATTTTGCATAATCTATTACGCGTTAAAGAAATTTTTTACAAAGATTACAAACGTGTATTATTAGGAGTGGTAGCCAGATTGAAGGATAAGATACATAAAGGAATTACTAATAAATTCATGTTATTGGAAGTGGATAGTGCACATTGAAATCGATCATTAATTTTTAATTTTTCATGTTTGTTATAGCATTAGCATTTTTTTAATCCCTTGCGAGATATTCAATCGTACTCACTAAAACGCCACCTTGTATTTCTCATTCGCTCTTAGTAGAAACAACATCATGTTATTGTAACACAAACACTTGATAAGTGGATCCTGTTGATATTGAACAGAAAGTCTTTCTCTAGTAGAAAAAATAGAAATTTTAATTCGAATCTGTAGTAGAATTTCTTCATTGATGTTGAATTGAAATTTAGATGAAATTGAAATTAAATAGATTATATTACATATAATAGATATATTTTTTCCGACTCCTTTCATTCCACAGCACAACACGTGTACTCTAGGTACAGGTTGACTCAATGAACATACAATGGTTCTATTGGCAGAGCCACCCTTTATGATAGAAATTAGTTATTAAACTGGCAGAAGCTCACCTCAATTATAAATTGATTCCAAATAAGTCCGTTTATGTAATGGCAGTTACTTTACATTTCAGGAGCCTTTGGAAAATGTAAATACCGATATTCTGGGAAGAATTCTGAAGGGAATCGATTTATCTCAAACAATGATCTTTGAATACAGACTGAGTGAGCCAAGGTTCTTTGCAGAAGTAAGTTTACGGACATGTTTTTTACTGACAAGAACAGAGTTAGATTCGTGGTGTGAGTTGTATATGAAATGGTGCATAAATATTTTCAAAATAGAGGTCCCGTCTATGTGTCTGACCAAATTCGGGCGGGATCAGACGTAATCTCGATACTTCCGTAGTGTTTAAGCTGCTTCAAAGATATAGCGTTAACCATAAACCTGACCGATCTTAAAGTTTATGTGTTTCGGTAGCCTAATCCTGTCACTCGATACCCTTGAAAGCTTACGAAAACGTAAATTTCTTCCAAATATTCCAGTCTTTTTCGTTTTATTCCTTGGAACTCCATAGCTGAAAGTGGCGTACGACCCTGAGTGCGGTGGGACACAATGAGCCTCGGATGATCGAGTACTAATGGTTTAAGAGTCGGCCACGTTTATGGCTAACGGTATATCTTTGAAGCAGCTAGACCCATCACTAGAGCTGACTCAGATTACAACCTTGAGTGGACAATCCATCTTCGTGTCGGCTAGAGAGGGAGACATAGCCAGCTCTCTCTTTCACTCCCTTTCTTCTGCTTTCCCTCTCTAGCTGGCTCTCAAACCGATCACGTCCGATTTTTTCTGTTCCGGCTCAAAACTCGGGTTCCTGCGACTCGGATCCGCACATCCCTACTATTCACGCATTTATTTGAAATATCTTTGTACAGTACATATGTTTGTGTATATATGATATGTATATGTATGAAATAAAGCATGTTTTCAAGATGCTTAAACGTATAAAATTTTTATTACCATGTACATTGAAGAGTGTAAGTAGACTCCTTCCTATTATTAACTTGTGTTATTAATTTACTAAATTGGTCCTTAACGTAGATAGTCTAGCAATGATATTCCCCACACATAACAAACTCAGCTCCCAATAACCGCAGTGTACAGACATAACCTCTTGAACACATGTTTCGAAATTCCGTACGGAAATCTGTACACTTTCGTGAAAGGCAGTTTATAGTTCCGATTGTTGACCCTGTATTTAAGGTAAGTCTTACGTATTAATTCTACAACAAAATATATTCAGTTCTGATAACCGAAGACTCGACGACTCTTAAGATTTGTGTAAGTACAAATACCGAATTGGAGGGTCAAATTTCAAATAGTTTCCTGCTTAATGTACATTAGTTATGAATGTATACTTTCCAGCACTTAAAAGAGTATACTTAAACTCGTAAACTTATACATTTGGTTGTAAAATCTTGAAACGTTGCGAAAATGGAATTTGCAACATGGCTGAGATACATTTTTCAGAAGTGAAATTTCACGGTGCCAATTGTAATTTGTTACACTGTGGCTTCTGCGAATAAAAGCAGCCCTCGTACCTCACGAGCCACGAAAGTTGCAAATAAGAGTGGGACATTGAATTAGTGTAAGGTTTGTAATGCTGTTCTTACTCTACCTTAAGACCATTGCTAATGAGGACTGACATGTCTGGTTTGGCTATTGTTCGCTAAAGAGCATGGCATGCAAATTGTAAGTAAAAAAAGTATCTTCGTTACTTCTTTATGTTCTGTAACCAAATTTACTGGATTGTACGGCTTAAGTATACTCCTTTCAATGCTACAAAATTAATTTTTCGATGCGGTTTAGTTTCACTAGAAGAAAATTGATTCATTTCGATAGTATTCGAACAGTCGAAATTTGTGAATGTATCTATTCTATTCTATCTATTCCGATGCCAACAAAAGCTTATCCATGATTTATTATATCGCGTTAATCCTACATAAACGTACAAATTAATCAATTATTATTACTGGAAACCGGTTGTATTTAATCTCGTAAATACACCATTCCACGGATCTGACAATGTTCGATGTGAAAAATCGCTTAGTGTATTGTAGACACAGGAAGTATCTTTCTGTCCAAGAAAGGAAAGTGTCTACGATGGTCGTTATGTTTCGAATGGAAACTTCTCCAAATTTTATTGTCTCTTATTACTGAAACTTTGAAGAAGTTAAAATTCAAAAGAAGTACTAATTACAGTGGTGCTCACGTAAGCGTCCGCATTTCTGCTCACTTTAGCGCGTGTTTCTATCAGCACTACTTCCTGAAACTGAGCTCACGGAACATGTATGTTGCACAACCACAGACGAGGTATAGGAGTAGACACTTCATCCAATGCATTTTTTCGCCCCATTTCCATTTTTGTGTCACTACCCACCGCAATTTCACCGTTCTCATAACGCAGAGGTCGTTAAAATCACAAGCCTTTTAAGGTGTCGGTACTATAGTTTAGGTGAGCCCCCAATTCCCATAAGATGAAATGTCTACTCCTATACCTCGTCTGTAACACAATCTACCGATTGGTGTACTCATCCCCTCATGTTATATGTCGACATTTCACTCATCCTCATTTATTCCTTTCTCGTTCGGTTAAATACTCGGAAATCTACCCACCTGGTGGATAAGCGTCCAAATAAGGACCTGAGGGTCGGACGCTTAAGAGGGCGCCACTGTACTTCGTATTATATTTTGCGAATAATACGGTTGGCTACGAAGAATGCTCATAGTAAATACTCGACGGTCATTTCGCTTCACGCTTGGACGGATGCCAGTGAGAATTATCTGCAACTGTCTTCTAATCTTAAACTTATCTGAATAGGACGAAGCATTTTCTTTGATGTATTGCACAAATTCTGCGCGCTGACTTAACTTCGATCGCTACTTAATTAGGACTCTTCTCATCGCTTGAAAAAAGGGGTAGAAAGATAACCGCGATATTATAGAAATTACAGCACGTTCTACCGAGAGGAAACAATTTTACGATACAGCTAAAACGGTTACGGTCATGTACATATTAAATTCAATGTGAAATATGCACTTAAAGACCAAAATCCGAGTGACTGCAACTTTTGATGAATACCAGGCAACAGTTTGCTATGCTGTAACAGTCGTTTTCGGTTGTTCCGTTGGCAGATGATATTTAAAAATTTTTGACTGTGCCCTGGAAAGAAAACAACGCTCCGAAAGGCACCAACTCACATTCCGAGGTTCAAATTTGGAGCTATTCACTCGATAGCCTGTTAATCAGCCACGTATGTACACTTCAGTTCTACTAAGTCGAAGCTGTTTCTCCAGGAAAAAAAAACATCAGCCGCTTAAGTACGAAGAAAATCATTAAAACATCTAAGAGTTGCTGGTTTTTCCATGGTTGTGCAGGTTTGGCCTCAATGTGACTGCACCTTCTACCCAAAAGTTAGGCCTCTCCAGCATGCTCTGCCATAGTGAGAGCTCACGACCTGTGGCGTCCATCCAGTCTACTGGTTTTCCATAATGCTTCCCTGAAAATTTAAGATCAACCATAACAACACTGCTGTTAAGAGCAGCGACAATTTTTATTAAATACCATGCTAGGTTTTCCTGAAAAGATACAATGACTATAACATTTATTAAAAGTATAGGACCTACTACCCAGATAACAATTTGCGTGTAGATTAGCAGCAGATAGTGACGGAATCTGTCTACAAATCCATAGCCATCTATTTCCACATTTAGTTTGAGTTTTGCCTGGCAAAATCGTGAAGCAGATTGGCGACAGATGGTTTATAGCAGATCCTGCATCAAATCTGTAGCCATTCTGGTTACAAACGCTTATAACAGGCATTGGACAAAATCTGGCTATGCAGGTTTGGTTGATTTGGCAGTAACACAATTTTATTTAGTTTCAGTTAATTAGTTTAGTTTGTATGTACACTGTATGCAATAATTTTCGCCCAGGAAAAAAATCTGGATTATTGAAATTGGTATTATAAATTTGAGATAACACCAAATTTTTGAAAATCAAGTTGAAAAAGCGGAGGCTGTAACACAAGTGAAATGTTAGTAGAAAAATTTAATGTAATGAAGGAAGAAGGATGCCTGAACTTATTTCATGCAAAATTCGAAATAAAGTAGAGTAGGCTATCGGAAAAAAAGAAATAGTTTCTAACATGTTTTCCAAAACATATTAGAATAGAAATTTCACAATTTAACAGAATGCAAAGTTGCAAGTGTGGCAGTTGTGTTGGGAAATTTTCAAAAATTTCAATACCTGTTCCGAGATTAAATCGAACTCCGCCCAGAAATTCATTGCTAGCTATACGATCGTGATCCCAGACAGTCAACTCCAGTCCACGTTCAGCCAGTTCCTGTATACTGACGTCCTTATAGATGAAAGTGTGACTCCATACCGGTGAACCACCAGATCTGCGAACTACTCCAGTCTTTTGTTTCCCTGAACGACCCTTGTCAGGTAGTAAGTAACTGAAAATATAAAAAATTAGAGATAGATTCACAACTGTTAACAATTTTTCCTATAATTGTTACACACTATATTAATTTTCTTTCTGAATTATATTGTATTTCATTTACATTCTTTATCTTTATTTTGCTTTGTTATTTCTATTTTACTTTATTTAAATGTTGCGTGTAATGAAAACGAACTATAACAAAGCGCAGAGTTAGATCAAAAAATGAAAACTCTGCTAAAAGTATAATTCTGTTGTACACTAATATTATTATAATTTATTTAAAGAACATTTTCGGATGTCACATAACTTTTGAAGTATAAATTTATGAATTCAGTGATAGTTTTACAGTGCATACAATAAATAAAATATATTATTTGTATGTATTATTGGATATTAATAAACAAGTGTGGAGAATATGGTATTTTGATTTGTATGTAAAATGCCGTTCTGGGTGTATTGTGCCTCGTATATGAGTTATGTTGTTTACGTTTGTCGGTTTACTGGGTTCCGTCATATTGGATCACAACACCGTTGAGCAAAGGTAGTGTGGTTTATTTCCGCTACAGAATATGGCAACCGATCACTAAACATGTTGAGAAGTATCTAGTGAAATCACTCAACGGTTGCGCAACAGTTTTAAAATAAATATATACAATCCAATTAACATGACTTTTGTTTCATTTTTTACTTAAAGGAATACTTTACTGGACCAAAGAAATTCTTAAATCCTGAAAAAATATTTCTATTGTTGAACAGATTTTGAAAATACCTTTTACAAAAAGGATCACAAGTGCCAGAGTTTTTTCCCCTGGTTTGCAAGTTTCTCGCTTCCTTCACGAGCACGTGTAATGCTCCACGACTCCAATTTTTCTTAGACTTGGATGCTGTTCTATCACATCCTATTTCTCGATCACGATCCTGCTGTGTGGGATCTGGGGGCACGAATTTCAGGCCGATGATCACCTCACCTTTATATGCGACCGGATCGTCGAATGGTTCAGTCTGAAATTGTTTTACTATTCAATAAAATGCTTGCTATGGAAATTCATCCTTAGAACAAAGTTCGTTTAATGCACAACAATTCATTAAGATCTTCTACCATCCAGTGAATAGTAAATTATTTATAATATATGTATTAATATTGGGTTAGGATAAAATCGGGGCAGACTTTAACGGTTAAGAAAACAATTAATTACCATACAGGGTGTAACAAAAATGTTATAGTTAAAATGGATCTTTCGTGAGGGGTTGGGAACAAGTCTTTAGCGTGTCAATGATTTGAACCAGTCTGAAAGTCCTAGTCCAACGCTACTTACTCTTTCCTGAAGCAGGTACCATTTCGGCGTGGGATCGTCGAAAATTTTATTCTCCAAGGGCATTCGTACTTCCCCGAGGAAATCGTTGCGTCCAAACATATCTGAGTGCCAGACGGTCAGCCACAGTGTCCTAGTCTCCAGGCCGCTCAGGTTCATATGAAACTGTAATATCGTGGTGACAAATCATCTAGACTCAAATACGCAGAATCAAGAGAAGCAGCCAAAAGAATCTTGCAAAACTTTTATCGACCACGTACCTTCAGCGTTTCATTAAACTCCGGGTTCAGAGTGTGCTTCTTCACTTTTGTCTTCCGTTTGCCGCTCTTTGACTTGTCCGGCAGCAGATACACCTTCACGTACCTAATGAAAAATTCAGTTTTTATGAAGTTTTTGAACGTCCCAAAGCCATACAATTCTACTTCGTGCAAGAGAAATATTTGAAATAACATCTCTATCACACGTTTTGTCAAATGTATGTTCGTTATTGTGTTTTGTCAACCTTGTTCGATTCGCGAATCACGCTTTCTATTAGTGTGCCCAGTAAGAATCAGAAATTTGTTTTGTGCTATTTGGGTAGTGTCTCTAGTCTATGCGAGACAAGACCCTAGATCTCTACAAAACCCCTGGCAACTTTGAACGTAGCCCGTAAGATAGCACACGACGCCTTGAAGGCGGCTTAAAGGCGCCTCAGACCTAAAATAGCCGTAAAATGGACGTCTTTAAGGCGTAATGTGCTATCTGGGAATAGATCTTGATGGAATTAATAAGATTCGAGAAATCTAAATAGTTATTGAAGAAGGATGAAGAAATTATGTATGAATCACTCACGGATCGGATCGTTTGCGTTTTACATCAACTGGCGCAAGATTCTTGCATTTCGTTACGTGCACTTCGAAGGTCAGGTGTTTGTAATCGTACTGCAACGCGAATTCGACTTCTCCGGTGACGACGACTGAACGACAGCAGCGTCCTTCTCCTGCCCCGCTGTAAACTGATGCCATCGAGTCTGAACGTGCCTAATAAATAAATAAAAAATCTGTAAATACATAATAGTAACAACCCTTGGTTCTACAAGAATTTTTGAATAAGAACGATTAGTAACTCCAAAATAGATATTTGTTTATAATTTCAATTTCATTCATTAGGTCAGTTTGGTTTACAATTGACTTTGATGTATGTTAAATTAATATTTTATTTTATCTCTAAGAGTTTAACCTACTCTGGGGTCTAAAAATAAAAACTATTATTTGGCAATTTTGTATAGTTCGATGAGAAGTAATTTATTAAAAGGCACTTATTAAAGGTAATTTTTGTTATGCAACAAAATGACGACGCTGGGGCTCAACCACGTTGGTTGTTTTTAAGTGAGCACCTAATCGGCGTGCATGATAACTTGAAAACTGTTTGGTTCTGCTCACAGGTATCCTAATATATGTACCGTATTTATGTAACAAATTTACCCCAAGACTGGACAGGGACGCTCGGGTTGGAAGGTTTCCGGCGTGTAATCCTTGATCCATGTCATCTACGTCCATTATAGCGTGATCAGAGCCCGTTCTAGATCCTGCACCAATGATCGGGGTACTGCATGCTTCCGACAAGCTACTTCCGTCATCTGCAAAGAGGAAATGAAATACTTTTATAATATTCCTGTAATTTAGTTTTGTTCTTATTACATGTATACAGGGTGTAACAAAAATGTTGGAGGACCCGGAAATAGGAGACTCGTGAGGTTATTTGAAACAAATTTGTCCTTAGCAGAAATATTATTCGAGGCATGTTTAACGAGATATTAACGAAAAACCCCGACCAATCAGAGCGCGAGTCTGCCCACCGAGTTCAAGCGGCATCGTTAACTATCAATCGCAGCGCGTAGAAGTAATTCTCGGATAAGAATAAAGTTATTATGACATTTATTACAAAGAGTAATAAACGGAATAATTTTTCCGTTAATTTTGGGAAGATTACAACTGGAACATTACGTACTATACATCGTCCTTCAAATAAAAATGTAAAATTGAGACACTATATTACAAATTAAAGGAAAAAATATTAATTATTATCGGCTATTATGGCAAAACCGCTGCCACAAAATGGAAAAATACTATTAACCATAATTCTACAAAGTTGATAGTGTCTTGCCAAAACAGTAAAATTGTTAATTTTAAACATTTATATTTTGTCCAAATGTACAAGATTTGGCCATTTGTTCAATATTAACCTTCTGCTTCTACGAAACAATTCACTTCATTTATTTAAAACGAAATGTACATAAACTTAAAACCTTTCTCTATAATCCCTGCAAATTTCAGATTTGAATATTGAAATGCCTTTGAAATATCAATTTTAAAAAAAAAATCGTATCTCGGCTCCATATTAACATAGGATACAATTTTTGTCTTCTATTTCTATATTCTTATTCTTATTAAAGAATTACCCTCCAAGGTATTCCATTTATTTGAATGTACATTTATAAACAAATGCAACAAAACTTCTCTATTACAATTTTTACTAAATGTCTCGATTGTTTATTAGTATTCAAGTCACAGGGAAGTCAGTACAACTGAAAGTAACGGTTTACCTTGCCTGTGACAGTCTACAGGGGCCGTCGAATACTTCACTTTATGATTTGTTCACACAAAAAGTTTTCAACCAACGAAATTTCACTTGAGGATATTTGTTTGGGAATACTTTTGGGGACACTTTTGCACAGAGATATCATTGTCTGAAAAAATCTCCATTGTTTAGAAGCAATTTACAGCTCAATCAGTGACGCAATCTTTACGAAAAATATCTCGTTTTATAGATTATTTTATTACCTATAACTTTTGTATGAAGTATTTACCTCCACGTCTTAAAATTTTTTTTTTTAATTTTTGTTTTAAAATGTTAGTACATATTAGTTTTATTTAAACCAATTAGTTAGTGTTAGCTTTATACGAAAAATGTTATTATTAGAATTACTTCAACCAAAGAAGACTGATAATTTGTAATACATTTTTTTACATTTTATTTACTTAAACATTTATAAATGAATAAATTATAAGTGTTATTTACGTATTATATAATAAATACTTCAAATATTATGTCTTTTTTTAATCATGTTTTTTTCATTTATTCGCATATGTAAAATATCGTTCAGTTACTGTTCTTTTAATTTAATTAATCCCATTTTTCCAATTTTTCAAACGAAAATCTATACGTTATCAAAAAGTATAGATATTAAAAAATCTTATTTTCATTTGCCAAATATTTATTAATATTGTTGTCATTTAAAATTTCATTTTAATAGTTACAAAATCTTTTAAGCGTTCATTAATTAATGCACTCATCCTAATCAATTAACCGGCCATGAATACCGTGGCCCGCTTATTGATCCAAACGAGTGTGGTGGGGTGTGGCAGTGGAGATTTCGCTTAGATTTCAAAATGTATTATATTATATCAATTGAAAATTCTCGGAGAAAATCGGAAGAACACTAGGTAGTATACAGGGTGAGTCACCTAACGTTTACACCTCAAATATCTTTGTTGTTTTTAAAGATACGTCCAATGTTTTAAGGACAAAGTTATTATTTCATTTTTTTTAGAGATACCAAGGTCACCTTCATTTTTTTAATCGGAACCGCCCTTTTTCCGTGTCCTTGAATGACCTTGAATAATTATAGTCACTGAATTCCTAATGAAAGGGCCCATCATTGTAGGTGTTTAAAAGAGGGTGATCCCATTCTAAAAAAAGAAGGTGATCTTTATAGCTCTAAAAAAAATGACAAAAACAAAAATTTTGTTTGACATCGTGCGAGCTCCATTGAACCATTCAACTTTGACGTATCTTTAAAAACAACAAAGATATATGAGGTGCAAACGTTAGGTGACTCACCCTGTATATTGTTTGAATGAATTGCAGAACTACGAATTGAGGGAAAATGTGACAGCAGAAAAGACTACACCGGTTTATCGACGTTGCACGTACGGAAGGGGCAACTGGAGAGAGAGAGAGAGGGAGAGAGAGAGAGGGAGAGAGAGAGAGAGAGAGAGAGAGAGAGAGAGAGAGAGAGAGAGAGAGAGAGACGAATTCTCCTAACAAAGCGGTTACACCTGTTACACTCCGGTAAACGCTGTGAGGCGCTTATTCGCAAAACCGCGTTCTACTTGTTGCCATTGGCGTAGCCTCCAACACCGAGTGTCACTGATAATTTTCGTGACGATAACTTTCACGGGACAATTTACTGTCGTCGATTCCAATTCAAACATTTTCATGTAAGAAGAAACATTTATAGCTACATGTTACTGTCAACTCGACTGGTTACTTGGGATCAATTGAATTGATTATGGTAATTATTCGGAGTAGGTCCATCCTTACCGATTTCAATGACCTTGACTATCTTGTCAAGGTCTACGCCCTGAGTGACCTTAACCTTGAATAAATTGGCAGTATGCAATATTTAAGAGAAGATACATATTTGAAAAAATGATCGGAGTAGGTCTGAGAGTAGATTCGTTAGCAGTCGCTCCCCCAAAACAATAGACAAATTTCTATCTGTTTTTGGGATATTCACAAAAAACTTTTGTTAAACTTAAATGTATGACTGGTAGTATGTATTGATCAGAGTTGGTTAAAGACACGCCAGCCAGTGTTAACCATACACCCAACATCCCACCAAACACAAGTTTAGTTATCAATATTTCCAAAAACAGAAAAGAAGTTTTTTCGTCGGGCCCCCGAGCACATCGTGTGTGTGTTTTGTGTTTGGTGGGATGTTGGATTCGTGGTATAGTAATTAATTAATAAATAAAAACCTGAAAAAATATCATGCAAATTGAAACATATTTTCCTGAGTATATCGGAAAGTAAGGCCGAGCGGTGGTAACATGTATAGGAAAAAGTTGTTCAGAATGATGACCTTGACAACATATTTCAAGGTCATTGAAATCAGTGAGGACGGACATATTCCGAATAATTACCTTGATTATTTAGATGAATAAATAAAATGAACTTACCAGATGTGAGAGACATGGCATGCTGTCTTCTGGACCTGGAATTGTCTCGTTTCCCAGTAGAAGACTGCGATCCCGAGATTTGAAGTCCCGGAGCACTAACTGCACGCTTAGGACCACCAATCGCCCCAGCCACGTTGCTATTCCTCGCGAAACCGGGTGGACGATATCTGGCCGATTTTACAGCAGAATGCTGCGGCAAGAAATGATACACGCTGTGCGCCTTGTGCATCGTCGACACCGGCGTAGCTGACGTGGTCGTTAAGCCAGCCGGAGTTGTGGAGGCTGACAGACGAGGTAAAGAATTGGTCGCTGCCGTAATGGCGGATTGAATCCCACGTGGTAGCGTCGTTGCTCGAGATTCGCCATTATATTCCAATTCGTCTTCGGTATCCTCATCACCTGCAGACGTACCTACCAATGTACCGGTTTATAACACTGAACACAATAATGGAAAAGATAGGAATATGTAAAGAAAAATGTGCTCTTGGTGGGTATGACGGACCTACATCCGTTACTAAGAAAACGTTACGAATACATAACACAGACGTAGTGATTAGTGGCACTTAGCCTCCCGAAAGAGGGGGTTTCGGTGTCCTCTCCAAAGCCATGGGCCTGGCTGTTCAACTGACTGGCCTCCACAAAGACCAAAGGGTCTAGGGGTGGCGTTATTTGCGGAATCATAATCTGGACGTTTTCCACCCAACCAAACTTTTTTAGGCCCGGGCTACTGACACAGAGGTAACACAGATTTAACCCAGACATAATGTAGCCCAGTGATTAGTAGCACGTTTCTCCCAGGAGAGGGGATTTCGGTGTCCCTTGCCTACTGAAATACCACGGAGTCTAGGGGTGGCGTTCCCTGAGGAATCTGTTTACCCCCGATTTCCACCAACTTTATTAGGCCCGGACCACTTGGAGGTATGAGTTAACTCGCGCATGGTTCGGAGAGTCATTAGGACGGTCCATCCCTACCTATTTTTGCAAGCTAAGTGGAGTATGAACGTTGGGGAATCCAGTCCTTTGTCTCCTAATAAAGTAGCCCAGACTCAGACTTGATGCAGACATGGGAGGAGACTCCGTGTAGTCTTCAGACCAGGGGCTGGTATCATATATATATGTGGTGATTCTGTGCCGGTTACTTCTGGTGTAGAAATGGTCAATACGCACCAACCACGCCTGTCTTAATTAGTGGCGCGTTACCCGAAAGATCTTCTTCGACGCTTCTTGGACTAGCCCATGACTTTTAAGGTCTGAACCATGTGATGGCACAATCCTACACGCGCAATCGAGGATCATCAGGTTTGTCTCATTCCTCGTTGTCTTTGGATACCATTATTTTTAACTGATGATAATAACGAAAGAATTCCATAAATATATGGAAATCGCAGCACGTTCTTACAACTGACAAACCCACCAAGAGTTAACATAGTCAGTCAACTTGAGAAATATTATGAAATTTACCAGATTCTCCTTTTGTGTTAGCGTCAGGAACGGAAGACCTTCTTCTATTACTCCAGATCCTCTCTTCCACGGCTCCTCCACATCCACTAGCAGCACCACCAGTCCCCCCACCTATGGACCCGCAACTTCTAACCCTGTCCAACTGTTCTCTGGAAAAACTCTTTGGATTGAACAATAGATCCCCGGCACTGCGACGTTTAGCGACCATCGCCAAGGCGTTAGCACTGGTATTAGCACCGACACTGACATCCCCGGAACAGGCCAGCAAGCTCAACTTTGTTCGGGAATCGGCCGCCATTAATGCTGACTCGAAACTACCACGCCAAGAGAATCGTTCGTAATCACTAGCTTCACGTTCTTCGCCTTCTTGTCCCGTCGAAGCTGCCGGATGGTTATTGATTAGTAATAAAGGATCGTGAGATTTAGACCTGGGCAGCTGTAAGTGCGTCGACGATGTTGCGTTTGTTGAATCAGACGTCGAATCGTCGTCTTCCGTTGTAGATGCTGAAGATGGTGTTCGATGATGTTGCGAGTACCTTCGCCAACTCGTGGAGTGATGCTGAACGGCGGGTCCACCTTCCGATACCTCATGCATTAAAGCCACCAGACGGCTACCGATATGGTGCATCACTTTCGCAATTAACGGTGGACTACTGTGTGGAGTCGAATTGGCATCGGAACTTATGCCGTCGCCCGCCATCTTCGTGAAACTTTGAACCAGCTTCTGGTACACAAAAGCGGTGTCTTTTCCCAGAGACTTCGGTTGCACACCAGTCGTCGTAGCTTTATCCTCTTTTTCTTTATCCACCAAATTTTGATTCGTCGTGGTATCGAATTTACTGATAATCTGCTGGCAACTTTGAGAAATCTGTTCCTGCAGCGCCGATCGACGACCTCCAGCTGCACCCTCTAGATCCGAACTGGTATAATCTGAGCTATCATATGAGTCGGACCACGTGTCCTCGGAACTAAGGTACTCCACTATTTCCCGCACTTGATCATCACGTATTCCAGGTACCGTTTTCATCAGCCTTGTAAGCTCATTCTCAAAATACACCAACTGTGGCGGTTTCGTTCGATTTTGCGAACACAATTTGACTTTGGATGGGTAGCCAGGTAGTCGAGGACTGGGTGCAGGCGATGCACCGCTTGAGGGTCCACTGGCAGTGTTCTGATTCTGTCCGTTCGAGTTGGCAACCATAGTCTTGAAAAACTGCCGCATTTTGGACATCATTAGGTTTGTTTCTTCATCACTAGACCAGTTATTAAAGCTATCTTTCCGCGACAGAGAAGCGTTTGACAAGTGAGGCAGTGTGGTGTGGCCCAAGAGATGATCGACTTTAGGCACGCTACTTTTGTCAATCACGAAATTCTTTTCCCTAGACGTTTTACCCGCATCTTGAATATTTTCACCGTTTTCTTTGCTAGAATCTTTGCCAATTTCTTGATTCACTTCTGCGTTAGCTTGGACATCGTCTGATATCTTTTGGTGTTGGAGAAGGTCGTCGCAGCTACCAATAAAGCCCGAGTCCCTCGACTGCTGTTTCGATCTCTCATTGTAGGTAGAATCTCCTGAAATGATTTGAATACTCATTACAGAGTCTGATTGCGGCGTAGATGTTGCTAAAGAATTAGCAGCCGCTAACGATAAGGAAGATGAGGATAGTACACACTCAGGCTGCGGGGTTTTCGCCCGCTCCGAATCTTCAGAATTATTCACTTCCGCTTCATCCTCCAATACTACTTCTCCTACCAGAACCATTTCTCTACTGGGTTCCGGAGTCTTGTTTCTGTCGTCCTGAACACGTGGACTTTGCGTTCCCAGATTCCTCGGTTTCTTCTTTTTCCTTTTCACCGTATCGAATTGTCCATCGGCCCCAAACGCAGCAGTCTGCCCGTCATCTGCTCCATCAGTTTCAGTGGAGGAACCTTCCGATTGACTCTCTTGTAGATCCTGATTCAGACTCAGATCTTGAAGAGAATTTTGCGAGCTTAAATTTTGCGAGCTCTGCGCGAGAGCCAACAAATTGTCCAAGGACGAACTGTGAGATCTACCGGTACCTCTAGCCCGGACCAATTTCTTCCTCCTTTGGGCTTCCGGGCTGGGTCTACCTTCAGAGTCGCTGCCAACGGAACCATCAGAATCTCGTCTATCTTGATCGAAACCCAAGAACTCTGATAGGAAGTATTTCTCTAGTCTCGAAGAATTTAAGAATCCTTCTCCGGAACTTGATCTCTCTTGGCCCTGCGCGGTTCCTTCATCCTGACCCAACGACTCCAAACCTTCGGAATAAATGGAGGATGTCTCCGACAGACTGTCCACTTCGCGTGAACCCATGCTCGAGTTGTTTCCATCTCCACCAAGGCCAAAGAAAAAGTATTTTTCCAGTTCTGAAGCCGACGGTGGTCTTTGTTTCTTGGATGGGCTACCTGTTGCCAGATTAGGCTCTGCCTCGCTTTCTTCGCAAGACTCCTCAACGATGGTGTGCAAGGTGAAGTCGATAGCCTGCCGGTGATAACCCCTAAGTTCTTCCTCACGATCCCCAAGATTGTTCGCCTCATCCTCTGAACTCTCTTCTGTCGCAGTAATCGCGCCAGGTTCATCCTCGTCGTGCGAAACTTCTTCCACCCATGAATCATCGTCGGCTAACCCTTCCTCCAAAATCACAACTCCACCGCTGCCTGAATTATCATCGCTGGACTGCGAGGAAACACGTGTTCGCGTATTTTCGCGTTGATCGTTGGATGGCGTCTCTTTCGCAACACTTTTCTCATTGTTCCCCAATCGGCCGACTAGTTTCGCAGAGTTTTTCACTGACACGTCGTCGCTTTCACTAGCACTACTAACACTTAACCCGCTGTCCACTTCCGGTTCATAGTGATTTGTCGTACTAGTCAGCCTCTTCACCATAAGAGGTTTCCTGTGTCCCTGGCCGTTTTTACGGTGAGGCTGTTCGGCGACCGCTTCCAACGCCAGCTGGAAGTATCCAGCCAGGCCCTGACTGGCCGTGTGCACTTCATCTGGCTGCAACAGAGTCGTGGTGTCCGACGTGACGACGCTCACTGGTTGGTAGGAGGTCTCCTGAGTAATCATCACAAGGCTTCTATGCTTGTTGGTATTATTACTCCCGATATTATTATTATTCCGGACCGTAGAGAGAAAGTGTTGGTCGTTACTGATGGAATCCTTCGTCGACGCGGCAGCACGGAGTCCATTCTCCTTTCGACTGGACGGCTGTCGCTCGACTGAGCGAAACCGTGTCAATACCCCCTCCTCGCTGCTCCCACCACCTTCGCCGCATCCACCGTTTCCAGCCCCCACCGCCACATGGCCAACAGGATTCTCGCCTCTCACCTGACACTGGTCATGCGCAGTGTTACCTGCGCTCGTGAAAATCTCGTGAGTCGTGTCGGTTATCGTGTCGCCCACGTCTCGGCCCGCTGAGCTCAGTTCCACTCCACAGCGAGCCTCCGGTAGGTCGTTGTCTTTCCCACCATCTTTGATCTCCGGAGTCATCGATCTTTCGCTGTGACTTATCGCAGGCTGATCCTCCTCCTCGGCGATCGACGTCAAGTCATTCTCGATACGCATGATTCCAACGCCTTTGGCACACGAATCATCCAACGGTTGTTGCTCAGCGCTCGATCTCCCGTACCGATTAATTCGTTTCGATGTGGTAACGCCCGATTCCTCGTCCTTGAAACATTTTCTAGTATCATAGTTCCATCTCGACGTTCCAGCGTCCTTCATCTCGCCAAGTTTCGACAGTAATTCGCTATTCATCGCCGAAAACAAGGTCTCATCGTAAGAAACGCTGATTGGCGACACTTCATACTCGTGGAGCTCGTCACTGCTTACCTCACTGCCGGTCGCGTTAGTGTCATTACTTGTGAAACTCTCGGATCCGGAACACATGCTTGTGTTTGCAGTCATGTTGAAGTTGAAATTCGAATCGGTCAATACACCAGCATTATCATTGCTTTGTTCGACAGGCTCGTCGGCCATTATCTCTATATTCGGAGTTACCGGCGACGAATTGGGAAATTGCGATATTTCTTGTCCAATTTCTAGAGAGTCTGGAATTATGTTTGGATCCCAAACCTCCGGTAACAACAACGTCGGTTCATTATCTGTATTCTCATCGATTTCGAAAGTCTTTCCTTCGGAATCAGTTCCATCCTCCGCCGCCATGGTTTCAACGGGATTAAGAGACTCGATGTTATCTGGATCCAACGTTTTGACTGATTTTAGCTCAATTTGGTTTTCAGAGGAATCATTGTCACTGGCAATGTACATCTCCTCGAGCAACGAAGAAACCTTATCACTATTCGTCTTTATGCCACATTTTCTCGCGTTTCTTCCCAGCATTTGTGTATTTTCATCTTCTGTAACGACTTTCTTGGTATTCGTTTCCTCTTCTGAACTATCTTTGTTTGTGTTTCGGTTCGAATGTTCAAAATTCGAATCATCGTTTAGAAACCTAACGTACTGCAGAACCACGGGCTCCTCTTCTGGCAGGGATGTCACTCTTTTCAGCGTAATACCATCGGAATCGGAGTCGTCGTCCTCGTCCCCGTTGTCCTCGATATCATTATCGCTGGTCAGACTGTCATCGTTGACAACAAACACCCTTGAGAACCTGTGGGAAGACGAATCCTCATCTAGGTCGCTGCTGTCCGCGGAAGATCGTCCCGATGAGCTGCCAGAATCGTCGCGCTGGAACATCCTCTGCCCCCTCCTGCTTTCAAAGGACACGCTTCCAGAATCCTGGCCCGAAATTTCCTCATTTTTCGACGTTTTGCTCGGTTCATCGTTCTCCTGGCTTTTGTCTGCACTCGACGGGCTCGATATTCCACGGACTTTCGTGGAATCGGTAGCCTTCGTCTCGTTAGTGTCGAATATAGCCTCAAGTTTAAAGGCCTCGGACTTCGCCGCGACGCTCACGTCATCTTTTTCGTCCTGATTTATCTGAAGATTGCACAGTTGCTGCTGAAGCGTCTCCGTCGCGGAACTGGTCGATGATTGGATAGACGAACCGTATAATAGAGGTGTTACCACTTGATCGGGTCTGAAGGTGCAAGTCGTTGGGTCGAAGGCTGCCGTGAATCTTGTATCGATCCTGGTCCCGTGAAGATCAGCATCGTTGCCGCGACTTATCATAGAAGATGCAGCCACTGCGAAATCGCCGGTCCAGAGGGCGGCTGGAACCGGTACCGGATAGGGGACCGGAACTGGAATTGGTACTGGTACCGGAAGAACGTTCGTGCCTCGAGAACCTCCACAAGCCTGCACAGAAAAATTAAGGTTTTATATAAGTTATGTTGTTACGATAATCTGCCTCTCCATTGGTCATGAATGGATGTTACAATTAATTTATCTGACCAATAAATGATCAATAACAAATGTTTTAATGGGCAAAACTGACAGGTTTCGAATCTACAAAGTACTACTCGTTGTAGAATTTTCAATGGATTACATTGTTATCTTTTGATTTTGTAATTATTTGTCAGGTTTGTGATAGGTAAGTGTCAGATCTGTGTCAGAACAATTATTTCTGTCACTTCAGGGTTATTCCACGCGAAATCGGATACTTTTTGGAACACCATTTCGAATTGTGCTCACATTTGGATTTTAGGGTGAACCCTTTTTCAATAAATCATAACTATTGTACTAACAAACTGATCAAAATGAGCTTTGTGTGTACATACAGTGGAGACATAAGAATACCAAATAAAAATGATTTCAGTTTAAAAAAATTATTTTTAACCATTTATTTTGCAATTGTTTTAGAGAAATGTAATTTTATAATATTATGACCCAATTGAAAAATTGGAATAAAATTAACGATATAGTCCTATTTGTCCTCTTTATGGACAAATTTGAAAAAATGTGGAGACTTTAAAATTGGCAATATGACAATTGATTGTAGTTAACACTGCGCCGAGCCGATGTAATTCGATGCTGCGTTCACTACTTCAATTAATTTTCATACGGCCAATTATAAGATGTCCATATTTTTGAAGATATGTCCATAAAGAGGATAAATACGGCTATATTCTCATTTTTTTCAAATGTTTAAATAGTTCCCCGATATGAAAACAGGGCATTAATTTAAAACAATTGCAAAATAAATGGTTAAAATATATATTTTTTTAACTGAAATAATTTGTACAATATTTGGTACTCTTATGTCTCCGCTGTGAGTACCCACAAAGTTCATTTTTATCTGTTTGCTAGTACAATAGTTATGATTTATTGAAAAGAAGGTCGACTTTAAATTTCAAACAGTTGTAACATCGACAATTTCAAAAATTTTCAAATGTCCTTCGAGATACGTTTATATATCTCCAAAGAGTGCAATATATCCAAATCTGAATAAAATCCGAAATGTTGTTCCAAAAAGTGTCCGATTTATATAATATAGGTTAATATATAGCTTTTAACGATCGACGTACCTGGCAAGCAGTTGATCCCCGTCCAGGACAACAGTTCCAATCCTGCCCGTTGTTGTTCGTCCCGATGGTAATCGGTACGCCAGTCGGTAGAGGCAAGGATCCACTCTCGAAGTAATCCCAATCGCAGTCTTCCAACGATTGCGTGCGACTGCCACTGCGTGGTATTCCGTTCAGAAAAGAAGAGCTGGAGCAGCTGCTGTCAGCGTCATCTTCTTCGCGACCAGACGACGAGTCCGAACTGATAAAGACCAACCGTCTATAATCGACCGCTAGCTGATCCTGACCTTGAATTCCCGTTGGACTCTGCTGTCTACCGCCACGACCAATCACGTGCAACGCTTGGAAGTTTTGGAGCTCCTCCGTATAGCAGTTCCTTGCGTGCGATCGTCCTCTTCGCCGTGAACCTTTAAAATGTAACAATTTTTATATACCAACTGTAATTGCTGTTAAACAATAATATAATTAATTTTTATGGTGGGACTCTATGCTCACCAATTACACTGGTGAACAAAATTTAACTTTTCGTTTGTCTTCGAATATCCAGTTGCTGATTATTATAGATTCTCCTGTGCTGAATACGAATCCGTGAACAGTTTTTTGCCATCACCTTCAGTTTCCAAGAAATTTTTTTTTAAATCAAATTTCTTGGAAACTGGGTGATGGCAAAAAAACTGTTCACGGATTCGTATTCAGCACAGGAGAATCTATAAGATCAGTATAAATGTTCTTTGGGACAAAAATCATGTTGACCAGTGTTATCAATGTATCATTAACAACACAGTTTGATTTAAAATAATAATAATAATAATAATACAGATAATAAAATGTCTTTCTTATTGTAAGAGTAACGAATTAATCAAGTGTTAGTGGAAAAAAAGCAATGGAGAATTGTAAAAGCGTGAAATAACGGGGTGCATCGTCGTCGCTGTGTTTCAAGTATAAATTACCAACATAACCATACCAATCGATAAAAAATTCTGATAACACCATCTTATCGATATTGTTAATGAAAGTTATATCGCTCCTGATATCGATGTTATCGTGGCTTGTGAAGCCGATTGAAACACATAAACGTCCATAGAATTCTAGAAAAATCTTTGTAAAGTTTGGGTAAGTTTCGGTACATTTTACCACATTATTGCAAAAATTTTATTGTTCTTTTTTCTTTAATTCAATGTTGTACCGAGCATTTATATATTTTCAAGTCTATTAAAAGAAGAAGCCCTTTCTTAATGACAAAAATTTCACAATCTGAATTTTATTTTTTACTGTATATCCAGGGATCTATTTTTAATACATCGTAATCAGCACTTTATAGTGCTAACCTTGTTGAATATGTTTTCCAAGTGGAATAGAGACAATTTTTCTTAAACTTAATAAAAGTGATTGTATTTCGCACATTTATGCACACCATGGATACATAAAGAACCACAGTCAACTGTTAAAAGCAAATTATTGAAGGCTTCAGGCAGGATGGAATGACTCAGACGTTGCACATGTCGCGATTCCATGAGATATAGTACATAAAGGGAGGGGCTAGTAATCGATGAAGGAAAGGTCCCTTATAGCGTCCCCTTGAAACAGAAAATTATAACTCACCGCTTTTAATAGGATTTGAATCATCGAAAGAATATAATTACAGATATTGCATACAACTATTAATATGTTTATTTAATTTTTTTTTATGTTTATTATGTAAGTTTTAAATATCAATGCTCATACAATAATTTCCAAATGTACAAAATCGACGTAAACGCTTATGTTTATAGGATTTGAAGTGTACATTCCTCAGTCATTTTCTAGGTAAGAACCAACAAAAAATGTAATACACGACTGAAAAACTCTAATACTACAGATTGAACAAATCTGTGATACGCAAACTTTAATATAAAAATCAATGAAGTCTTCATCGTTTTTTAAAATTTAATAAATGTTTCTTTCCACTACCAACAGTTTTTGGTGACTATTTTACGAAAATCAACCACTCTGGAATGAGAGACGAGTATAATTTTGTTCAAATGAGAACAGTACACAAAGATTTGCTCGGGACATTCAGATGACTATTAATGTTTCAATGAATAGAAAAAAAAAATGTAGACTAAATCGGTAGAACATTGTTCAAAAATTTGGTAACCCTTAATAGGCGTTTCTATTGGATCTTTATGAGCTGAATGCAAATGTATATACTATTCTTTCTTTGGAAAAAAAAATTGCAAACATTCACCTTCGAGATGTTGTAATAAAAGCAATATTACTTTTACATTAATAGTTATTCAGTTGCTATTTATACCAAATAATTCTCTGGACTCTCCCGAATAAAATGATGCAACTTGTTATTATATTATAAATATCTAAATTTGTTTAAGTAACGATAAAATATTAGTAGAACATACAAAACGCACCAAGTTTATCTGGTATTTTTACAAAATTCAACCACAACACGCGATAGAGCAGACTTTTCTGCTCAGGTAGGCATCAAAGAAAGATACAAAAACATTTCTTTTCTTAATTTAAAGACAAAACAATTCAGTAAAACACGCGGTGACGGCAGTGGTACTCAATGACAGCGGTCTCCTTGTTTATCTTGCTTCAATATTACCTTTAATTCATGTATTCATGTAACAAATACTGTTTAATTATTTATAAACTGTTTTCTAAGAAACGTGAGAACACTGAAGTTGATGTACATACATACCTAAAAGTACTTTCTTACTTTCTTCTTGATTAACGTTTATATAATTCTTGTGCTTGTGAAAATGTAGGTAAATAGTATTCTGTGTACAGAAACACATCAATTAACACGTAAATTGTAACGCCTCTACTTTCTTTGTTTTAAAAGTAAAACAAATACCTCAATAAACTCTACTAAGTATTGTTGTAAACCGCAATTTAAACAATCATATACTGTATAAATGCATAAAGTCCGAAATCTAATCATGAGTATACATTTATATGATTATTTTCCTTTGTATTCTTTTTTTTGTATATGTATAGTAAGAAAATACCCGTGCTACACTACTGATTAGTACTGCAGTTAATTTGGATTAACAATCCAATAAACGATTGTTCTGACAATTATTAAAATTCCCTGTTTAATTTTATTCGAATACTCTTGAAGAAATAAGAGCATTAATAAGTGAATATGAGCTAAACAGTCAAATTGAATAATTTAATTTAATTTAATTTATTGCCATTAACCATTTTATATAAAAGTTTAACAAGAAAAGAACATCACATTATACTATTTGTAGCAGATAAGTATATGCTTATAATGCTAAAATTACTGCAACAATTTTTAAAAGACTTCTTTGTACACATTTTTCGTTTGTCCGTCTGGTTGCAGTATCGCCAGTAGTGCTGTCGGAAAGCTCGAATATATGAGTAACTCAAATATCGAACCAAATCGAGTACTCGAAAGAAGCGACTCGACAGAATCGAGTAGGTCGAATCATTTCAGGCGACTCAAAAGAATCAAGTAGATCGAATCATTTCGGGCGACTCGAAAGAATCGTGTTGGTCGAATCGTTTCGGGCGACTCAAAAGAATCGACGGTAACTAATGTGCAATAAACATTCGAAACATCGTATCCAGGAATGTAAAGGTAATCTGCCGTAACAATAATTTTCGATATTATCTTTGCTCTAAACACGTTGATCGTTTAAATTTTTTGCCGTGCCTCCACAAATGTAACACCTCTGTGACGAAGTTGTATTTGTAATGGCCTTACACACTTTACCTTCAACCATTGTCAATAATAATGTGTATTGTATTACAATTTCGTGCCCTTCAATAGTTAAGTTTTGATTACAAATTTGCAATTTTGTCTTTAATACTCTTAACTTCCGTTTCAATTAATTGAGATGTCGCACACTGGCACAGAACGCCGATTTAGGAGTTCAGAAGCTTAATTTGAGTGTAAAAATGGGAATTTCAAAACCAAACTTGGTAAGCATGTATTTAATATTCATATTTATTAAAAGAATACAAAATTAATAAGTAATGTTTTTATAAACAGAATAAAAAAATTTTTGTTTAACGAAGTTATCATTGTCATTTACAAGTTCTCTTATATTATTCTCGAAGATTGATGGACTTCTTTCAAAATTTTTCTTCTAGATAACAAAATTGCGGATATTAATCCTTTGCACTCGGAGTTTCTAGTTTTCCATACATTTTGTCCCTTCAGAGGGGACAGTCGAGTGCAAAGGGTCAAACAATCAGAGAATGCTATTAATGTATGGAACAAATCAGTAATTCTTCCAGTAAGACACTTTTTTATAAATTTGTATGAACATTAGATGTATTCACCGTGTTCAACATAGCTTTAGAATTCGAAATTATGGTGAAAAAAAAAGTTTATTTGCAAATATTTTGCAGAAATAAGGTTTAGCGATAAATAACTATTAATGCCCGCTATTGCCCGACTTGATTTCTAATTTAACTGTTACTTTAACTCTAATGTATTGAATCACGATTAGTTCCAAGTGCGCCATTTTGCGCCTAAATAAAAATATTTTTGTTTTAACAAAAGAAGAATTTTGTCCATTCAATGTCGAGAATGATATACGAGAACTTGTAATTGACAATGATAACTCCGTCAAAAAAACTTTTTTTATTTTTTTATAAAAAAATTATTATTAACAAACATTACTTATTAATTTGGTATTTTTTTAATAAATATGAACATTAAATACATGCTTACCAAGTTTGGTTTTGAAATTCTCATTTTTACACCCAAATTACGCTTCTGAATTCGTAAATCGACGTTCTGTACCACTGTGCGTCGCACCGAAAACGTGGCTTGGCGACACAATGGGAGTCCCAATATGGGACTAGCACGAGTTGCACGACTTGCACGGGGTCTCCTGACTGTTTACGTTGCCGGGTGACTTACCTAGATTGTCGGCAGAAAGGCCCAAAGTGGCCCGAACACAGTGATGATGCCAGAATCGTGGGACGCGAACCCCCACTCCTCTCCCACTACGACCCACCGTCGTCTCCCACTTTACTTCCACCGTGCTGACACACGCAAGCATCCTATCCCTGTCCGTGTGTGCTGCCGTTCGGGTCCTTCCGCCGACAATCGCTTTGTTATGCGTCACTCGACAACGCAAACAATGATGAGACCTTGGACACTCCGTTCTAATCCCAGTACGGCGGTTTTACTTTTTATTTCTAGTTACTTTGTAATTTCACTTTGTAACGTCTCAGTGAAATAAAAATTTGGAAAATATTAATTTGTGAGTTATTTAAAAAGAAAAAGAAATGTTTTCCACTTTAATATTTAAATTTTTTATTATATACAGGGTGTCTCAAAAATGTCTCTCTTCCGGGAAATGGGGGTTGCTGGGATGATTTGAAACCACTTTTTCCAATCAGAGCGCGAGTTTGCTAACCGAGTTCC